TAGCCAAATTATCATCACCTATGCTCTATTGACTGGCCATAAATCAGTCAATGTAATACAAGGTGTGTGTTAATGTGTTAGTAAAGTGTTTCGAAAAAGTGTTATGATGCTGCACCATCACCATATGTGGTACTGGGACTCCAGGATGATGCAGTGCATCATGGATTTTTGGCTGGAATAAATTTATTGGATATTTGATGACTTTGAGACGAGAGATTTGTGACGTCACAATATTAGATGAAATTAACCACATGATGCAGGAAATCAAGGTAGGTGGTGGCATTTTTTATTATATTATTTTTTTCATATTTTTTATGGCATAAATATTGGTTTTATATTGATATATATTATCTTGATATATTTAACTTGATATATAAATATTAATTTCTTTAAATTTACTATAATATTTATATTTATTATTATTATTGCGCCCTAGTCTGGGTATAGGGTTGTCTTACGGGAAGTTTTTATTACTTGATTTTTCGGTTACTCTAGGATAAGGTACTTGATTGGGGACTTATATTAGTTGATAGTTTGGCTATAAGCTGTGGTTGCAAACCAGGGTGTTTGTCTTGCAGGCTAAGCTACGCTGAGAGATGCCTTTTTCAGGATTTCTTAAGCAATATATATTTTACGATTAAATAGTATATATTCTATGTAACATATATCACATATTCTTAAAGAGTAATCATAAGCCGTCGGGTGTTTCAGCAGTATTTGCAAATTCGGTGGCTTGCACACCGCAGCCAATGCAATGTAGATCGGCTAAAAATAAGTTAATTTCTTTATTTTCGTCGCTTAACTTTCGCAACTGGGAGGAGGTAGAGGAGGAGAATGAGGAGAAGGAGGAGTAGGAGAAGTAGGAGTGTAACCCAAACAAATATTAGCCCAGCCGCCTCCAGCCATTCGCCCAAGTTCAGTGGTGTTTGCCAGGCTGTCATCACTCCCAGTTGTCTGTCAGCCCTCGTGACCAGGGTACTACTCCTCTGCTTTTGTTTTCCTCTCTCTCACTGTTGGTTAGCTGAACGAACGTGTGTCCTTTGACTGTCAAGGCCCATCTCATCTTAACCCGTCTTCAAACGCCATCAAAATCAAAGTCAACTACCCAAAAGCAACCCATACCAAACCCCCTGTCAACACTCCACCTGATCTTGATCTTTATGTACACTGTTCTTCTCATGTGGGACTGACGTCAGTGGAAATTTGTGTAGACTTTATGAGGCTGCGGCTTAAAGTTTGTTGATGTTTTTTGTGGCTGCTGCCACTGGGGATTTATGGGCCACCCACACGGAGATACAACTTACCTTATCAGGCATAAATCTGTCCACTCCGGCATTTCTGCGACGGAATCTGGAACCTACATCGTTGGCTATCCACTTAATCTTGGTACACTCTAAGTACTTAGCTCGAAAGTATGCAAAATTTGATAACCCAACTGATTACCTAATAAATCAATGTTTTATTTTTTATAGAAATCTTGTGAGCTTCCCATCAATTAATGGAAAGAATTTAAACTAGTTGACAAGAATCTCAGTCATTTTTAGTGGTATGTATTGCAATGATCTTCCCTTGAACTGTCGTCTGCTCATAAATAGATTCAAGATCATACGGAAATTGTTGATAGGTGAAATGGAATCTAAAATGTTGATTACTTTAACATTGATTCTAGCTTTGGCATAAAATAATCTTTATTAAATCCCTTTTAGCCTTTTTAGAGAGCCGAGAGATCTTGGACCATTTAGTCTAGCTTATCACCTATCTATCTTTAGCTTTACAACCTGCCATTTCGGTGAGCATTATAACATTATAACATTATAACGTTCAAAACATCAACATTATAATTGGCTTAGCGCGGGGGCTTTTTCCTAATACTCTTGTTTAGAGCTCCACTGACGCACAGAGAAGATTCTTTTGGGTCACGTGAATCCAAAGTGCCAAGTCACTTTTGGCTACGCAGTGTCTATCGTCCAACTGGTCTCCTTTCAAAACAAACTTCCCGTATTGCCCCCTTAACACCCCCCTCTCGCCATCTCTCTGCCATTTCAGTTGGAAACCGAAATGAATGTGCACAGCGCGCCGGGCTTGATTAATCATTGCATGCTCAATATCAATTAAGGCAAGGGGAAAAATACAAGATCGGGTAAAGCTTCTATATACATAGGAAAGAAGCAGCCGCCGAATGCCCCAGTGAATGGGTTCGAGAGAGATGGAGAGCAGCATAACTGATGACTAACCATTTGGGGCTTAAGCAGAAATCAATTCAATGCCCAATTTCAACAACATCAACAGAGGCAGAAGCAGGGGCAGAAACAAAACAACAACAACAGTAACAGCAGTGTGGGGCACATTCTGCATTCAACAGTCCACTGTCTCCAGTGCTAACCGGTTAGAACCGATGCCAATCAACCCGTTGAACCTTTAAGGCAGCTACGTCATCAGAATTCCAAAAGGGTAGACACCGAGATATGGATGCTTCAGTTTCGTGGAACTTAAATGGGACCCTGAAGATCGTTATAGATCGGTATAATCTTTTGATTAAGATTTAATATAGCCTTTTATAAGGATCATAAGATATTTTTAATGGGAATTAACTCTCTCTAAATATCACTTCATCACAGCATCGCAATGAAATCATTTTGAAAATATCATATCGTTTCTCATATCATTTTCTGGTGTAAACACTTTTCATCATCATAATTTAAGCTGTTTAATATTGAGAATATCAGCATTATTATTGATTAAACAAGCAAGATCCGATGATCTATATAGACATCTGATTATTATGACGAAAAAGTTTGATGGATATTTTGCAATACCCAAGATCCAGATCGTACCTATGAGCATACTAGATCACCTAGATATTTCTAGATATTTCCCCCGTTAATGATCGGAAGCTGTCATCGCATCAATTGGAAGACGATCACGGGCACTGAGGAACTAACTGTCTGCTTGAGTGCTTTTTCATTGCAGAGAAAATTTTCATTTTCATTTTGATTTTAATTCCATTTGCGAACAGGTTTGCGGCGCCCGAGCAGGTACAACAATGGATGTGACAACAATTAGAAGCTGCCACATGTCGCTTCGCTCTTTTGTTCCACCATCGTGTTCTATGCTAAATATCGCTTGTTTTGTTTAGTTCAACGCGGCTTTTGTTTGAATTTTTGGTTTTTATTATTATTATTCCTGTCTAACTGTCGTGCTGGCGGTTAGACTTAAAATCTGTTTATCTGGATTAGGCTACCTGCAATAGCAGATAATCGAGATATTATATAGTGGGATATATAGCTACTGTATCAACAAAGGGGCGACACGAGCCAAGTAAAGGGCCATAAAAACCTATAAACAAACGAACAAGGCCCTCAACTCAACTGGATGACTTTCGGCGCAAATCATATTAAGTGGCTATATCTATATAGATATATATATATATATTGTATATGCGCATCTAGAGATATTTGCATTCTGGTGACCCCGAGCTGGCAAAAAATGTATTTATAAGATTTCCCACTTAAATGTATTATTTGTTTGCTAAATGCTGGCGTTAAGGTAGGCAAAAATACAAAATAATAGGGGGAAGGTGAAAGAGTGATCGACGGTGATAGAGAAAGTGTCAGATTGGTGACCCTCAATAGCCTGAGATTGCTTACGTGGCAGGTTTTTATGAGATTTCCCTGACTTGTTTATTATTTGTTTGCCAAATGCACAGGGGAAAAACTGATATCCACAGCGATATTGATTTATCAATCAATTAAACTTTTATTTGCTTACTTAATAAATATAAATTCTGTTAAATCCAATTAAAGCGAGATTTATTTTTAAAAACCATCTGAAACGATTTGCTCTCGATTTGTTAGTCTTGGTTTTCCATAAAGCTGTCTTAGTTCTTTTCGAATGGATATTATGACTACTTAGCTTACATCATTTGAGTAGCTTTGTGTATTTAGCAAAATGTACACCCCCTTTACAGGCCCTCCTTGAATCTGTGATCATTGAGAGCATTGCAATTATGCAGCTAATTGCACAATTAAAGCAGTGCAGTTTCAGTTGCCTTGCCTGGTCGTCGTTGCATCCCCAAAAATTCGCTGCATTGCCAGAACAGACTGTATCTGTATCCGAGTCCGAATCGAATTCGGTATCCGGATTGGTGTATATCTGACGATTTATCGAAGAACATTGCGCTGACCCAAACCAATTTGAATCGGTTCGAGCCGCCTTAACGCCCCAACGCCTCGCCGGCGCCCCCCCCAAAATCGGAAAGAGCGAGGGCAAGACAGAAAATAAACAAACAAATAAATAAATAATTATGGCGGAGAGAGCGAGATGTATTTTGCGCTTTATTTTAAGCACGCCTCGAAGGAAATGTTTGCCCAGACAAAAATAAAGCGACTCGCAATTTTAGGTTCTTCAAATTGGTCGCGTTTCAGGTTCAAGAACATTTGTGCGTCGCATTGAGAGCTCTATATATTATAGAGCATTGATTATTACTATCTATATTTTAATATCTAATCAATCTTATATACGAGTACGTAGATATCTACCTATCCGATTTACTTATAACTCCAACTTATAGTTATAGATACACCATTTTGGGCATTTCCTGGTATCTATAAGAGCAAGTACACAATCTTAGATTATCAAAATTATTTAAGAATAGGCTGACAGAACGGCAAACTGTCTGACCTTTCTATTCCCCTTCCGCCAACGCCACAGACATTCTCATCCTCTTTACCCCACCAAAATGCCGACGCGTTTCTCTTGTCTTATCTGGTTGCAAATATTTTGATTAAATTGTAATTTCCTTACAATATCTTTTTATTTCTGTTACAGAGTTCTGTCATATGGCATGCGACGCTAGGGAAATTGTTACAGATGTCATATAAATGTAACACTAGGCGTATACGTAATTTCTGAAAAGTGATAGATAAGCTAAGATAGATATTTCTAAGACTACAATGTACAGTACAAAGATAAATCCAGAATAATTGTAGTTTTAAGCTCACCTCTTTGCGACAGCGGTAGGCGTGGCAATGCAGAAGTCTCGCTATCGGCGCTTTTTCCACGTACTTGCTATCGGGTTTATCGTTGTCTTGCCGATTGAGCTTCGATATTGCTTCCATTCAAATAGTTATCGCTGTATATTTGGTATCCCGGATTAGGTTTTCCTTAACTGTGGCCTTTAGGCGCCTTTCCTTGCCTTGTGTTTATATTGAAAATATTCAATCAGATCAATCAATTATTTGGCGCTGAAACCCAAAGAAAATCAAATCAAACATTACTAACGGATTGTTCAGGATCCTTATCTAAGCAGTCGGATCAAAAGATTCACACGTTCAGCACGTTTCACCCAATTCTAGCCAACGGCCAAAATATAAACAATATGCCTCACGTGAATCGTGAATCGTGGATCGTGGGTCCTCATGTGGCCCCCAGAAAGCGAAAGTGTGTATGGTGAAAAAGAGTAGGAAATAATGAGGGAAGAACGAGATGGGGCGAAATGAAAATTTGTTTTGGCAAAAATGAAAATGAGAAAACTGAATATATCTTGTTTATTTCGGACAGCCAGTGGGTGAGTCTGCTTTTTATTTCGATCGTTTTTAGTAGCTCCGTTTTGTTTATGTTTTTTGTTGTTTTTCCTTACTTACGCACAAAATATTTGTCCCATATCCAAGGAAAATTGCTAAATTTTCCTATAGCAGAAACGGTTGATATTACCGTTACCCGTTGCAACCGGTTAAACCGGTTCTGAGAAAGCTTTTCATTTGAAAATAGCACTCATCTTTGGACCTATAAGTTTTCTAACTGTTGCCGAGAGGTATTTCGCGCCCAACAAGTGTCGTCTTCAGAGTCTATATTTAGGTTTAACACAGAATCGGGGAAATAAAGTGCCCAAGTGACGCAGCATGTTGGGAAGGATGATATATAACATATTTATAGCCGAATCGGAAATTTTTGTGTCCTTCTGTTGATGTCAATGGGAGGAGGTCAATGGGTGTTGGTCTGCCGACAAAGTGCCGAAAGTGAGATGATCGGCTAGAGAAGAATTCGAAATGGAAAGGTGGAAGAAAGCTGTTCGGTCTGGAATGGGGCGGATCAGGCCCACCACACGGGCCAGACCGCCAAGAGACTGGACAGGGATAAAAATATACACACTCTTTCGATGCTGACGTTGACATTGGATGACGTCTAGTACGATGGCTAGATGGCATATATATAAATATATATATCCACTAGATCGGTGCGTGATGTAGTTCTAGCACAGTCAGTCTGCTAGAATCGAATTCGGATGCCAATCGGAAATTCCGAAAACGGACGGACGGACACGTGCGACCTGTCAGTACATCCCCTGAAAACAACTCATATTTATCGAGAGGGTAGCTGTTCCAATTCGAATTAAAATGCAAATACGAAATAAAACAACTGCCAAGTGAAAAATTCCCACAATTTAAATGCAAATTTCGAGTAAACAAAACCAGGCGCACAATATTTACTTGTGTTATTTTCCATGCTGAATATGAAATGATCTATCAATCAAATTATATGTTAATATTAGAACAGATCACCGCCCTGAATTGCAATGACTTTGCATGACGAAGAGGCAACGTTGCGATATCGATAGCCCTTTGGTGACCCCTCCCCATCTACACTACGTAATCCTTACTTTTTGGATAATTTCCGCTTTGGTTATCGATTTTTCTTATTTTTCGACCTCGGTGCGTGTGCGCTGTCCTTTTTATTATTTTGTATTTCTTCTATTGATGTTTGGAATTGAAAACAAAGTTTTCCGCTGTTTTTTCCAACTTGTACGATTTGTTGATGCTTTCGCGCTGAAATGTGTTTATAATTTGGACTCTTGCCAGGTGCTTTAGTGGTTCGATATTCTTTTTATTTGCTTGCTTAATGCTTGTTAATTTCGTTGTATATATTTTTTGTTTGCCTTTAGTTGTAATTCATTTATATTGATCTGTTCACGCTCTAGAAACGCTTGCGTGGAAATCGATTTGAATTGGTATTGGTATTGGCACCGCCTGGGAATCGGAATAGGATCACTAAACGATTTATTTTATGTGTAATTTTTATTATGCTCTTTGGTTTGCTTTTTATTCTTTTTTTTTTTTTACATATATTTTTCCTTTATAATTTTTTTTTTTTTTTTTGGTATCGGATAATCGCAGATTTTGTGTGCTAATGTCGCGGCTTGAACTTTAAAACTGAAAACGAACGAATTTCAGATGTGATGTTTCGCATTGTTTAGTGCGCTGTGCGAGAGCTCTATTGTTGTTGTTTTTGTTGTTGTTGTATTATGTTTACTACTGGCTAGGTGCAGCACGGCAGCGACGCCGGCAGAGTCCCGATCCCACCGATCCAAGTCCCCCTTAAAGCCCCGAAAACCCCCGCCAACCCCATAGATCCCCTCAATTCGCACAGCCCATTCCCATCGAATGTCTCCCCACAATGGAGCGCTCAATGAGCTTGAGTGTCATCCACTTAGGAAGCGCCAACCACTGAACTCGCCACAACAGTACCAAAAAAAAAAAAAAAAAAAAAAGGCAAAAATTCAAAAAATACAACAACCACTACAGCAATGAACTGGGGACGGCGGCAGAGGTCGATGTCGACGTCGCAGATGATTATAATACAATGGACGAGATAATGCGAGCGATCATGCAAATTAGATTTGTCTCAGTTCTGGCGAATACACGACGTGACATGCCGAGTCTATATCTGAATCCCAGCTTAAGAAGATCCTAAAGATCCCAAAAGAGACAGAAACAAAACCTGCCATTTATTATTGCATTATTCCCCTCAAGTGCTCTTCGTTGAGTCCGATGCTTGGATTTTATTTCAATTTGCTTGTTTTCCTTCCAGAGAGGGAGAGGGGTGTTGGATTGGTTGGATAGATGAGTTCTTCAATGGAATTGATATCAAGCGGCTTGTGGGCGTGGCAATCGAGCGAATGATTCAGTATGTCGCCACGAAAAAGAAAAACATAGAAAACAGGGAAGAGAGCGTTCACCAAAATAATGCGAACCTCTGGCCAAAGCCAGAAGCACAGCAAATTGAAATAATTCAATTAATTTGCATTGTAAGTATAAGTACGACTGAATTGTAATCAAAGAAAATGTGGGGAGGCTGGTAAACGAGTGCGCTACAATGAAATCAGTTTAAATGAATATGCCAAGTGGCCACTCGAAGGCAATTGATGCAAGTGAATGCGCGCAAAAGCCACCGAACATTCCACAAGCGCTCTGCGGAAGGAAATAAACTGAGACTTGCCATTGCCGATCGACAAAACGTTTTTCAAATTTAAATAAAAAGCGCGCGCCATTCACTTGCTGTCATAGGCTCGCTGTTACGACTGTTACGCTTAGCTTATCTATCGAATAAGGTTCGTGCATATGCTATGAGGCTATTAAATTTGACTTCCCTGTTCCAGTGTGTCCTAGCTAGATCTTTTATACTTAGGGTGAACCTTGTTTTTGATTTCGTTAGGCTGTTGACAAGTGCGCGGAACATCTAGCTAAGACAACCACCATATAAGTTTCATATCGTAGAAAAATTCAAAGCAATGAAAAAAACGATCTGACTATTTTTATATTTTAACTGTTTTAAATTTTAACCTTCTCTGTTCTACGAAAACAATGAACCTTCCGATAAGCCCCTTCCCAGCCCCAGTCAAATGTACGAGCTATTCACCTAAGAGAACAGAAAGAAACAGTTGAGTTAAAAGCAAAACGCATCACATTTCCAGGTGGTCAAATCTGGGGACTTGTGCTCTTATTCAATACTCTGTATTCTCCACATCCGCGACTTCATCTCGCACATTTAACTTCTCTAAGTTATAGATATTATTTAGGATACAAAAAAAAAAGAATGGAGCTTCAGTAGTTGTCACCGGCTTGGGCGGCTGGCCCAAAACACATTTTATTCAGAACGCAACATCTTCTCCTTTTGGCGCTGCAGCTTCTTCTTGGAAAGCTTCTTTTTGGTGGGCTCGTCGTCGGTGGCCTTGGAGACGATCTCCTCCTTCTCGGTGAGGATAACCTCAACGTGACACGGCGACGACATGTAGGGGTTGATGCGACCGTGGGCACGGTACGTGCGGCGACGCAGGCACTGGGCACGGTTCACCTGGATGTGCTGGACGACCAGACGGTCGGCATCCAGACCCTTGCAGTCAGCGTTGGCCTCGGCGTTGCGGAGGAGCTGCAGCAGGAACTCAGCGGACTTCTTGGGCCAGCGACCCTGCGTGGTCTTCCACTGCTTGGCCTGGGCACAACGACCGACTCCACCGTTGAAGCGACGGAAGGGCACGCACTCCTTCTGGTCGATAACGGCCTTCAGGTAACGCTGGGCACGGCGCAGGGGCATGCGCTTGATGGCCTGGGCGGTCTCATGTGTGTTCTGAAATATAAATATTCCTCATTAGTTGGTGATACATCATGGATGTGTAATAGATCGTAGCACAAAATAGTTATTTTATGCCAAAGTTCAGGTAGAGACGCGAGCATTAAGGGCCAACACGCCGCTGTTTTACAATGGCTGGAGTTTGCTTTGGGCACAGCTTGTAATCAGTGATCTTCCATAAAGGAAAATCACCTAGTTTTAAAACTGTGCCCTTGACGAGGAACTCATCAAAATGCATATCACAGTTGTGAGAGCCAATAAATCTAAATCTGCCAAAGTCAATCAAGAAATTATTTAAGAAACTGAGTTGGATATTAAATATAAAGTATAAACCGATCTATAAATTCAGCTTCAGAGCTTAAATGGCTAAATCAGGTTCAATTGAAATAATTCTTAAGAACACCATGGAAATGGTACAAAAATAATCAGAATCATGCCGTTATCAGCTTAAGCTTATAGATTTACGTTATTTGATTGACTAACTAATGATATGCTTTCTATTTTCTCGATTCCGATCGGTTTCAATGGTCTTTCGAAGATCTGTGCCAGGCTACAGGTAGAGACTCGCTCATGGGAAGCAGCAGGCCGCTGTTTTAGCAAGGCTGTGGCTTCTCTTTGGGCACACGGATCGTCAGTAGTTGTCCAAAATGGAGCAACCACCTTTTAAATGGGCATGCCGAAACAATTATTCCATAGTGGAATGTAGTCGAGATTTTAGAAGAGGGCTTCCAGAGTTTTCGGACTGCACTCAGCTGATGAACTCGTCTTCTTTGAGGAACTCTCTAGCAGCATTGCAAAAGCGAGATGCCGCTCAATAGGCTAGCATTCACTGATTAAAGCTGCAAATATTTTCGAATCCTGGTTTCCATGGGGATCTTACCTTGAAGTGCACACGTAGATTGGGCCCGCGCGCCTTGCACGACTTGGCCACGTTGTCTGACTCGCGTGAGTAACGGCCCATTTTTCAATATCTGCAAGAAACACCAATTAGTGAGCATAATCATGGATTTGAGCAACAAAAACATATCATATTCGGTCAAGATATATGTAGTATGGGATATTTCTTAATGGGCAACAGATCACCCTTTTTGGGTATATAATAAGTACTTTGCATATTTTAAGAGTGAAGTTTAGCTGTAACTACTTTCATAAGACTTCCTGATACAAGGTCTGGAGTCAGTATGTAAATTATATCTTTCTAGTTTGCATTATAAGATGATTTATAAGAAAACATTTTTAATTTGCTGTTTAGGTGATTTACATTGCCCTGCTACTAATATTTTGACCGACATTGCATGTTTAGATGTGCCCTTAATTTTAGGGCCCTGCCGGGCCATTATTATTGTTTTGTTAAATTCAAATTTTTAGGAGCCAAACTACGCTGCGGTCGTTTATAAATCTTTTAATGATAAAAACAATTTGAAGTGATTCTAGTTTAAAAACGCCGCAAATCGGGTGGCAATCAAAACACGTGCAAAAACGAGCGAGAAAAAAAAAACCTAAGCGGCTGCTCGTTTGTGTGTGTGTATGTGTGTACTCCTGTAAACAACAACAATAGTACACGACTTTTGTATTAAAGTGCTCTTAAAACTCCTTCAATTTGTCATGTATCATTAGAAGTACATGTTTTTAAGCAATTTGAAGAATTTTTAGTCACTTGCACTATGTTAACACACACACACATACAAGCACAACGACAACACACGTATTTCTTCGTCATTTTCCACTATATTTCACAGAAAAAAAAATATGTTATTTGCCGTTAAGGCGTATATCATAATATTCTATATGATGTTCTTTGTTTACATGGTGTAACTTTGATTTTGGCCCGCAAGCCCACAGAAAAAAAATATGTTAAAAAAAATAGGGTTGGTTGTGCACGCATTTTCTGGCCGGCCGACTGATGGCCTAGTTTTTCCACCCAGAATTGCGCTGCAAACACAATTTAAACGACCGCAAACGTACCGGAGTGCCCTGGCTATAAGTAAATGAATTTAAAAACCAATTTAAGCAGTAATTTACAGTAAATAACTCGCAAGGCACATGCACTCACCGGAAACGTGGAACGAAAAAGAAAGGAAACGGCAGTTTCAGTGTTGGAAATCGAATAGAATAGAGTGACCGACTGGAACTAGAGAAATAAACTTGAAATACCAAAAAACTTGTTTTATCGTTTCCACAATCTGAGCTTAGCATGTACACACACCTTTTGTGTGGCAACTACATTTTGAACGATCTAGCAACACTGCTAACTGACACTATATCATTTAAAAGTAAAAGCTTAAGTTTATCAAAATATTTGAACAAACCAATTAAAATAGAATGGAACTTAAATCGGCAAAAATTTAAAAAACAATTTTAATAAAAAATATTTTGCTTTGCCGAAACCCGGGATTGAACCGGGGACCTTTAGATCTTCAGTCTAACGCTCTCCCAACTGAGCTATTTCGGCACTTGCGGGTTTTCTAAAGACAACGATTTGAAAACGAATTCAATGAATATTAATCCCGATTTAATAAACCATAGCCAGACTGAATCTGAAATATTTGGCAGATCAGACTTAAGTTCATTACTAGTCATATCAGCTTTTTAATAAATGGAATCTTCCCAGAGCCGTGCATATATTACTTAATTTATTTATGAACAATGGTGCCATTCACTTGAACTTTAATTCTCATAGATTTAAAATCAAACAAATTTAGTAAAATCATAAATATTTGCGCATATTATTGGCCTATATTAAATAGTGGGGAATACTTCGGTTATTCAGTTAAAGTGTTCTTATTTTGATGGCTTTTAATGTAGTTCCGTAATTGGTTAAATTACTCCGAGAAGTAAAATCACTTAAGCCTGGGAAACTTCCAGTGTTTGTGGTTAACGGTTGTATGGAAAACAACTAGCGCCGGGGGGCAATGCATTTTAATTAAGCGACCCGATAAAGTCGATCGTGGTGGAAGCCATAAAATTAGCTGGACACTAACCGCATCGCATTGTCCCTTTTCTGTTAGTCATTTATTAGCGCGTTCGTTCTGGACATGACCGTAAAAATGCCTGTTGCTAATCGGCCAGAGATCTGCGTATCAAACCGGTCCAGGAGGCGGAGAAGGTACTTCAACACTCGCCACTCACCACTTACCAAATCCTGCGGCAAATCTGAGTTCTTTGCGAAGTCAAATCAGCGCGAAAAAATAAAACAAAAACCAAAACCTTTATTGTTTTGTAATTTGTGCGAATTTAACAGTCGAGTATTTTTAGAGTCCGTGTACCCATTCAATTTATTCATGATTCACGCCTAATTGCAGGTGTCTCGATCATTTGAATTTCCATCTCTCTTGAGGTCAAGTGTCGAGGAACTGAAATGTCGCAACTGCTGCACGTGCCGTAGTCCACATCCACTTCGTAACGTTCCCTCAAGGATCCGGTTCCAGCGGCACTTAACTGGAGCTACCAACCGAGGGCTGCCTTGAGATTTGTGGTTCGTGGGCGTTCAAGCAAGACAATAAGCAAAAAAAGACCAGCACTCCCAGAACTAAAATATAAAACAACCAAACCAAACGACGCCCAACCACCCACAACTTGGCTGCACAGAGAGAAAACTGATATGACACTTTATTCTACATTTTATAGAATATTGAGAATTCAAAAAAGGATCATCGAAATACCTCTGATAACATATGTAAAATGGAGGGATACATTTTCATCTTACAAAATGTAAATATTTTTTCCTGTGCACTCGAACTTGACACTCCTAGAGCCACTCAACCACCCACTCAACTATCCAAACACCCAACCATTCTGACGTCACATGGTAGTGTTCCGCTGACCAAGACTTCGTTAAATTAGCATCGAAAAAATTACCCGAAAGACCAAACACCTGCAAGCCAAAAAGCACAAACAACTCAAGAGGCGGGCAAAAACCACCATTTAAACTGGTTCCGAGGGGAAGCTGAGATCTTTGAGATGGAAAAGAGCGGGGGTTACGGGCTTCGAGACCGGAGATCCGTGAGTCAGCAGCCGCCTATCATATGCACCGATTTACGGCACGCACATGAGTTTCCTTGGTAATGATAGGAGGAGGCGAATACGTCTTACCGAATACGAATACCGGAGAAAAAATCCCCCTAAATTGCAGCCTCGGACGTCAGGCTTCGCTGGCAACTGGATTTTGCAGTGAATTTTAATGTATTCCTCGAATCCAAGAATCCATCTCAGAACTTAACCCTCTGCGAAACATTCACTGAAGTTGTGTTCAAAGTGTGGAATCTTAAGCTGTATCCCAAGAATGGGTTAACCTAAAGTTAACTTGAGGGTCAGGCAAAGGGATCGTCCGCATAACATGGCACGGACAAGCACCACTCATCATCGGCATTCTCGTATCTCTTGAGAGAAAAGAGGCGATCTGAGAAGTTAGACAACAGAGGAACTGGTGTGCAGGGGGAATCCACGCCAATCTCGATTATGCGTGGATTTTCCATCGCCGCTAACTGGTTTTCTCTGTGGTGATTCGTTTGTTTTCGCTGATTTTCGAGAGAACACAGCGTAAACAAATCTCCGAGGCGGGATCAAGGGCAGCATGATCATGATCAGCAAGCATGCAGCTCAAGATGATCAGCATAATGGCCATGGCGGGAGTCAGAATCTATTTCTTCTATTTTTGCCAGCCAGATTATACAAATATGTTAAAATGTTTCTTTTTGTAGTTAGTATTGTTCAAAGTCAGAACACTGGACATTCGGTTCAGGATATTAGTTATTGTATAAAAAGTATCTCTTTTTAAGATATTTATATTTGTAATCCCAATTTCGATTTCCTGTCACAAAGCTAAGTTCACGAACAGGTTTATTTCCATGATTTTTTTTTTTGGATTATAATGGTACGGGTGCTTCTCCATCCGAGCTGGGCAAGCCCACCGATTTGGTTAGAATGCTCCAGTTGGATGAGATGACAAGCAGAGAGCACCTGCGGCCAGTTCAAATGCACCGCCAACATGGAAAAAAGGAGGCACGGCCGATGAAAATCGGGGATCCCGATTAATCAGTCCTTTGTTCGAACGGGGCAGATACTATTTTTGGGATTGGAAGGGTTATGTTCCCAACCGCGGTTCTTGACTAAGCACTCGCAAACAAAGAGCGCTCGCTCTTTCTGCCTTTGCTCTCGGCCTGCTCGACTGCTTTTGCTTGGCTGCTTGGCTGCTTGGCTGCTTTGCTGTCTTGCTGCTTTGCTTCTGCTGCTCGCCTGCTTTTGGACTTCTCTCGGGCTGAAACTTTGCATTGTTTAGCCGGCGATGGCAGCGCCGTCGACGTCGCCGTTTGGGCGGTTTTCCTTTTTAAAAACGACGATGGACTGAGCCGTGTTTTAGTTCTGTTTGCAAAACGCAGTCACTTGGACGTGCCCCAAGATAAACAGCGTACCCATAGTCCAGAGCCAATTTCAACGGTTCGGACTGAGCAGTGTGTTTTTTGTTTTTTTGCCATCGAATTGTTTGTTCTGTGTAAGTGTCGCCTTTCCTCTGTCGTGTCGCGTTATCTCCTATGCTGATGCTGATTGAAAAGAACTCGGATACTTTTTGGGTGCAAATATATTGAAATAAATATTAAAAGCCTTGACAGTACTCAATTGCCCGACGACGCGTGCCTGTGTGCAATTAATTTAAATCCATCGAGGGGTACAATAATTCTCAACAGTTTTTGTGTGTCAGTGCCAAAGCTATAGATCGATCGATCCGATCGTTGTCTGACCAAGAAAATAACACCAGCAGCTCGACGGAGTGGGAACGTGTAAGTTAGCCGGGGATGAATCAGTGGATTCACCAGGGGGAAGACCAAAAAACCGCAGACTTATTAATAAAAAGTTGTGACTTAATAAAAAAAAACCCAAGTCCATGGATAAAAGATATAAAACTCAAGAAATCAACTAGAGTTAACTTCGAAAATAACAAATTTCTCGATAGATAAAAATGATTGAAACCCAAATAAGAATTCTTAAACGAAACTACGGATCTAAATGATCATTTCCTAACTAGCCATATAACATACGAGTATAACTCAACAACCATTAAAACGAGTCTTTAAAGATCCCAGGCAATAGAAGATACTACTCCTATTGAGTTTCCAAGCAAAGTGATGATCTGCAAAATACTCGAATGTAAACCACGATCGCCCTCGATCAGCAGTGAAAGCTAAGTGCTAAAAGTAAACAATCGTGATTAGGCTACTATGTAAAAAAAAAAAGATATAAGGTCTGATTGTCATTAATATAAACGACAATAAGCTTCTCCACTATACTCGTTAGGAAGAAAATTATGGGGAGGAGGGTTGGGAGGAATAGCCAAAGGTACTTGGGGTACAACGGCAACCATTAAAAATGTGTGTTTGAGCTTCATAATATTGACGCAACTCAGTTGTTGTTAGCAAATTATGAACGACACTCCCACATCCGAAAGCTAATGAAGCTGAAGTTTGGACTATCTTATCGGCGAAGAACAGGAAGGAAAACCCCTTCCAATCGAAAACGAGAAGTGGATCGTACAGACTCACAGACCAGACAGTCTAATGAATCTTCGAATCGATTGAGTGAATAAGGTAGCAAGCGGGCAATTTGTTCAAACGTGTTGAATAAATTTGGCATTATCGCAAAAAGTTGAAGGCTCGATTAAAATAGGAATTTATTAAACAAATTCTGGCAATCATTTAATTTCGACTTCGATTTAGACAACGACACGATTCATATTTGTTCCCACATCTCAAACAGAATTTCTGGTGGGCGTCTTTCAAAAAGCCCCTGGCCCCCTTGATTTTGTTTACCCCTGCCACCGTATGGGAGGTCATATTGTTGTGGGCAGTCACGAAGATCCGAGATCCGAACGGAATGCAAAAATCTAGAAATATATTATGGAAAAGTTGAAATTGCTAATGAATACTAGCAATTGCATAAGTGTGTCTGATTTTGATTAACATTCCCTTTTTAACAATTTATATGAGCCTTTGCCAATTTCAATAATGCACGGAGAAGGCCAAGCTGCAATCTCCCGATTGGGAAATAAAATGGCCCGTCTCCAGGTTGAGAATGGAACGCCTATGACAACGTTCTAAGCCAATCTGACCTAAACGATCAGCTTTAGAACTTCTCCCTTAGCATTACATCATTTCTTTGAGTACATTTCTATAATAGTTCAATCAGATGTGATCGGAGAATGTCAAATCTATAGTTGAACAATTAGAAAGGTTGCTCAGGTGTCGCAGATGATTAATTTTAATTGATAACTCTCGCTGGCATCCAGTTTGAGAATCGCTTAATTGTCTGACCACTCTAATTATGCCGCTAACCAAATAGCCCGGCCATCTGGCATCTGGGATATGTACGGACGTACACTTGAGAGATATTAATGAGTAATTTATTGCCCAATCTATGACTAGAGCCACCGCAATTAGATATAATAGACAACCCACTCATTAGTAAATGGTTGGACTAATGCAACTACTTTTTACCAGATAACCAGATCTTAAATTAGATCAACTCGCCTGATGGGTATCTCTGTAGTCGAATCTGAGTGGCTTATATTATATATCTCCATTTAATCGTCGTCCGCTTGATTTGCATTTGTCGAACAAGCGGAGACGACGTAATTACCCGTAATTCGGGTTATACAGTCCGGGCTGGCAGTCATTTTTTAGAACCGCTCGAGATTGAGCAAACAGAAAGTCCGAGATACATTCTGCCCAGATGACGATGATGATGATGATGATGATAATTGGCAACTTGGCTTTTGTTGCACTCGGATTTGATTTTATTGCTATGGTCACTGGTCACTGGTTTGACCAGCCGCCCGATACTCATATTAATTTATGCTAATAGCGGAACGGTCTCATCTATAGCCAGCCCTTAGCCAAAGGCACGGGTTCAACTTGGATCGGTTCACGTGGGCACGATCTTTGCGGATCCGATCGATAACTACATGGCATTTGCATTAGCATCTGGGATACGGAGTACAGCCGGTGACAGTGCAGTTGCCAGGTGCGATCGCTCTGGCATTTTGTAATTCATTAAGTTCAGATTCCGAACACCTGGTCCAGGGAAATCGAAGCTGATTCATTGGCAGTTTATCTTGGACCTGTCAAATTCACAGGACTCATTTTGGGGGAAGTTATTATAACAAGCTTACTGTGATTATTTTCAAAACTATATGTGATTTGCTAACTTTTAGATCTTAACTATTTCTGGTTCTCTCAAAGTCTTGCCTAATTACACTTCTGATTAATCTTAAATTCATTCTTTCAAGTTGTTCTTCGGCTTAAGTGTAACATTTTAACTAGTTCTAGGTATTTCTATCTATTATCTTACAATTTAAACAAATGCCTAGATTACTCAGAATCTGGTTGATTGATACCCCCAATTATGAAAGCTTAATCTACAGACATCCGGCATCCAGCCTCCAGCATTTCTTCAGATGTCGTCTGGGGCACTTAACACCTAGCTTATAATGGCAACACAAGCCATGTGATTCGCTTGGCACTTAGCGGTTGCTAACTGACCACACTCAATGGCAATTCAGCGCCTGATGGCTTCATTTTGATGCGAGTTTGGCGAGTGCCATGCATAAATCAAAATCTCAGACTGAATCCAAGGGGGCGTTACCTGGTATAATAACCAACGAGCTGCTGCAAAATTGAAATGTTCACACGGACAGGTGTCAAGGTCAAGCCGCGTTAGCTACGTCACGCAATCTTAAGTGGCCCTTAAGATCTCTCTATCTCTCTCTCTCTCTCTATAAAGATACCAAAAACCATTCAATCCAACAGATTGGCAGCTAATTGTGGGCGAGAAAAGTGAGACACCTGCTTCACGGGCCTAGTCAATAAATTAAGAATATTTATTTGCAATTTATTAAAAAATCAGCATCTGGCTTTGGATGTTATGACCCCCCCAAACTTCATGTCCACCCAGAAGCCATTCATAATTGGTAGCCAAGTTGGCCTTGACTGCGGTTACAAGTCGGGCTGATAAACCGCATTTAAAGCCAACTTAATACAATTGTATAATGTGCATAATTTTTAATGGGCATGCTTGAGTGCCGGCCATTTGTCTGTCTGTCTATCGGTCTGTCAGATGTACACAAAGTGCTTTGCATAGACGACTTAAGATTAAGTGGCTTATTAGGCGCGAGCTAATCGAATTGGGGTTAAACATGACTTGTAATTGTCTTTATTTTTAGAAACTAGAAAGTTCCCAGAAGTACTTGGCTTTAATTACTCGGCCCATTCAGATTAAACGAGATTTTAAATTTATTACCACCTTAAACAAACTCTATAAACGTTGTGCGCCCACCTTTCGGAATCGGATATTCGCACATTATATAGAAATACAGTCGGGTCCCTAGTCGTCGCGGGTTTTGAGTTGAAGTTGAAGGCAGCCAAGCCTGACCGTTCTTGGTCTAATCTTGTCACGAACATAAGCCAAGTCGATGCTGTAATATCGGGGCTCTGGCATTCTCACAACGGCCTGTAATTTCGTATTGCGTGATACCGGAGGTGGGAGGTCAAAGTGGAGGTGTGTGTTTGGTGCATAGAATCATGGAGTTGAGTTCCAAAAGCAGTGCACTGATAACGCTGGCTTAATTTGAAATTGCAATATTAATTACTCTAGACAATAATTAAATGCAAATTTGCAGTTTTATGCTATGAACAATTCCATTTTTCACCAATTTCATTGTTCGAAAGACATATAGTTTATAGTTTTCCTAGTATAGCATTAACGCTTCAATGATCGCACGCTGGTGTGGGCCATGTTCGATTCAAGTTAATGCACGAACTGCAAATATGATGCCCTTGCCAAAGAAAGCGAAAGAGGCGAGTTGCCCCAAGGGGAGGGTGTTCAGTCAGTCACGTTTGGTCGGGAGTCCGGTTTTTGGTCTATTACGCTTGGCGCCTTGGCATTGAACTAGAAATAGAAAACTAGCTTTACAGATTTACGGCACGCATTGACGGATGTAACGCATACATGGTCAAGGAACACCTGCTACGTGCCCGGTTCAGAGTAGGATTTCCATAAGAATCGCCCAACAGTATCATTTATACCGGACGATAGTCCAATGTCAAGGCTGCGTCTTGGTATTTTGCTAAGCCGACAACAATCACTATCAAATTAAAAATAATACGCCGCTTCCTACATCGAATCTGCATAAGACTTCAGACGAGACTCACGTGTGAGCTTTAATACCTAAACGGCGATACTCATATTTATGGCTCGATAAATGTCAACGCGCATCACGAAACGATCAAGGTTAAGAGATTTACAATGGTCCAAGCCGTTAAAAACTTAATGGCTATTATTATTAAAATTGCACCGAACATTAAGCCACAAATGTCGAAACTACAATGTGTTAAAGTTCGAAGGCGTATAGTGTGAACTCGGAACCGATCTGAAAACACAAACACAGATCTCTGTAAGTGTTTATAGTTGTGGATTCACAAACATGAATCGATCGATGCCCAAACAATAAGCAAACAAGACAATCCAATGCCTTAATGGTAAATAGAGAATAGCTTTGCACTAACCCAAGCGGTCAATACACCGAGCATCCGCATTCTTGAGACCTTTTGTTCGACCGCATATCCGTCGGATAGCGAATGTCTTTGGCCACATTTTTCCACCAATGTTCTCCGGTGATTCTTGGGCCTGACCTTGGCGATTTTGACAGCGCAGCAATTGTAAGACATAGCCAAAAAAAAAAAAAAATAGAAACACAAAGAACAGCAAAAGCAAATTAACTTGATTGATTAAAGGAATTTCAGTACGCATGTTGGCGGGCGGGTGTTGGACTGTCAAAAGTCAAGTCGAAGCCCAAAAGCTGAGTTTTTGCCGGGCTTAGCTACGAAACATATGTGCGATCGGCCACGAGCAATGATAATTATGAGGCTTGCTTAATGGCGGTTTGCCAAAAATTAATTTGCCGCCTGCGAGAATGGAGGGAATAACAAAAAAGACAAATTGATTTAGGCACTCTGTTTGGTAGTAGGTAAACCTTTTAGATCACTCCAACTGAGCGGTTTGAGAACCCATTTATCCATAAATAAAACCACTTTCCCGCGTCCGATTTTAAAGCTTGATATATTTAATTTAAGGCCACAACTTAAAGAAAAAAAAATGCGGAAATTGCTTTCTACTTTTTATATTTATTATAAGCTTGAGGCCTATTAAGTATTAATTCGTATAATATAAAAGAGCATTTCCATTATCGTTAACATTAACTGATATAAATTCAAACAAATACTTAATTCATTTTATAGCAAAATGATCTTAACTTAATTGTCACCACCTGCAGAGCTGCGATTGGAGATCATTATGCCTGCAAAGTATCCGGATAGTGCTCGTTAGATACCGCCTCTCCTCGTATCACGTACGCGTAATTGCCTTCACTTTCGATACGCTGCGAGGGAGAATTATGGACATTGTGCCAAGTTCCTTTCCAAATTCCAGTCACGACAGATCAGTCAAGTGCTATTGCGAGATTGCATTATGCAGCTGACCTGTGAGCTGACACTCAGAGGCTGGCAAACTCATTAATTGAGTGCTCGCAGAATATTTGTCATTATGTCGAGGTACTTGCTTTTACCATGTTCCCCACTCTCAGCACAAATGAGAAATGCGATACGTTGATTGTCCCGATAGCCTTGAGGGTTAGATAGCTAGCCTGGCTAGGTAGTATGCACATTCATATACTTATTATCTCGTGATCTCTTTATCTCTCCCGCAGTCAACGGCACCAGGATGATACCGATACTCGAGAAACTGAGCGGGTTCTATAATTCCTATGTTCTGGCCGTACTCACCATCGGCTACATTCTCGGTGAGCTGGGTCACTATCTCATTGGGGTCACCTCCAAGCAAACGGCAATTGAGTTGGACTATGGCGATCATGCTTGTCAGCAAAACACATCGATGTTTAATCGCCATGAACTACCCACTCAGTGCTCGGCTGTGGGGAACGAAAGTAGCTGCTATGCCCTGGACTTCAATGGCACCGGGTACTGCGAGTGGAACTACAATGGTCTGGGAATCGACTACCAGATCCTAGCCGGACCCACCTTCATCCTAATCTTTACCATCGCGGGCGTGTTCATGGGCTTTGCAGCCGACAAGTACAATCGCGTCAAGATGCTGACCGTATGCACGGTGATCTTTGGCATTGCCATGATCCTCCAGGGAACTGTCAAGGAGTACTGGCAGCTGGTCCTTTTGCGTATGGTAATGGCAGCTGGCGAGTCGGGTTGCAATCCCCTGGCTACGGGCATCATGTCCGACATCTTTCCGGAGGATAAAAGAGCTCTGGTCATGGCCATTTTTAATTGGGGCATCTATGGAGGCTACGGTATTGCTTTTCCTGTGGGCCGCTACATCACCAAGCTGAATTTCTGGAACCTGGGATGGCGTGTTTGCTATTTGGGCGCCGGTGTGTTAACGGTGATCATGGCTGCCTTGACAGGAACTACCCTACGTGAGCCAGAGCGCAAGGCCATTGGCGAGGGTGACCGACAGACGTCAAGCGGCAAACCAGTGAGCCTGTGGCAGGTAATCAAAAGTCCAGCCATGATCATGCTGATGATAGCCGCCTCCATTCGTCATTGCGGTGGAATGACTTTTGCATATAACGCCGATCTCTACTACAACACATACTTTCCCGATGTTGACTTGGGCTGGTGGCTCTTTGGTGTTACCATTGGCATTGGCAGCGTGGGTGTGGTTGTAGGTGGCATTGTGTCTGACAAGATTGTTGCCAAGATGGGCATTCGGTCACGTGCATTTGTACTGGCTGTCAGCCAGCTGATTGCCACGCTGCCTGCCTTCGGTTCGGTCTACTTCGATCCGCTGTGGGCTATGATCACGCTGGGTCTGAGCTACTTCTTTGCCGAGATGTGGTTCGGCATTGTGTTCGCCATTGTTGTGGAAATTGTCCCACTGCGCGTTCGGTCGTCGACCATTGGAGTCTTCCTGTTCGTGATGAACAATATCGGAGGCAATCTGCCCATTCTGGTTGATCCCGTTGCGAAGGTCCTGGGCTATCGCGGATCAATCATGATTTTCTATGCTGGATTTTATGGCATCAGTAAGTGGAAATTATCTCTTTAAAATTAGAAAATCAATCATGGAGGTCATTGTTTTTAGGTTCCATTCTCTTCTTTATCACGTGCTTCCTGCTGGAAGGCAAATCAGATGAGGCAGAGGAGCCGGAATCACCGAAAAGCCATCCAGACGCAGTCCTTAATGCCCGCCATATGCACGGGCACGACAACTCCGTCTTCTCCGTGGACGAGACCCTGCCATCTAACGGACGTCCCGTCCAGTTGCCCCAGCATCTGCAAATGTCTAGCAACGGCTACGAAAAGTCTCAGATTTCTCCGCCGCGACTGAACGGCGCAGAGAGCAGTAGACTATAGTTTAGCTTAAAACCCGGAACGTTTTTTTTTTATTAACTACTATTATGGAATTATTATTTTAGGGCGTTTTAACGCTTGTTTTAAGTTCGGCTCACTGGCTAAAATCAACGTACAACAGAAAAGTCTTCTTTGCAAAGGATACAAATTACAACATATACAATAAATATTATAACAATATTATGTTGTTCCTTTGACAACCATTGGATTGCTTATGTACATACATATACGGTTGTACTTTATCCACAAAGAAATGTAGTTTGCCAGCCGAACTTAAAGCAGGTATCCTTATACCTTTACAAATAGTCCTAAGCGAGGGGTGAGGTTCCCTCAACACTGTATTTTTATCGCTATTAATTTGTACTTAATTCGGCAACCGATGACAAATGTACATCCTTAATAAAGTGCTGTTTTGTTAAAATAAGTTTCTGCCATCACTCGCGGTACAATATACTCACCCACGAAGTGAACTTTATAGGTCCATAATTGCCGCTTTTAGTCTTGCTAAACTCGTCAGTTTATGCATGTGGCACAGTTCGCAGTGTGTTATCTTCCTCCTTTTTGCTACAATATTATTACAGTATAACCATGTCAAGTAGTGGCGAAAATACTTGCGACTGCTTTAAAATACTATCAGTTACTACGACTATCGATAAATATTGCCCCAAATAAATTACTCGAACTTTGTGACATTTCATATTTTTTTATTTAAAGTTTAAGTTACCTTTTCACTTTGGTAGCTCTTGTCAAAAGTGTACTGGTAAGCTAAAAACAAAATTTGTTTCAGTCGTGTTCTCGTCTGCTTCGTGAAACAACATAGCAGCATAACAAATCATAATAAAATTACAAAGAATAAATTCATTTGAAACAGAACTAAACTAAAACCTAACTGTTTACAGATAGGATCATCGCTGGTTTAGAATTTTCGCGATATTTTTGATAATTTCGGTAAGGCGAATTCGTCGCTGCGAATAGAAGCCGTACCCGTGTCGGTGTGAGCGCGTGCATGTGCCGGAGTCTTCGGCACTCGGCATTTCGCCGGAAAGTGTTCGGCAACTCGGCCATCATACGGCCACTTCAGCGTCAACTTCGGAGGTGCCCACATCGGCGGATACTTCGACCAAGAAAAGGCAAGATTTCCAAGAATTGCATAGTAAAACGGACCGTTGAGGGAGCAGAGCTGAGGTAAGTACAGTTGCTATAGCTACTTATTACTTTATAAAACGGGAAATGCGCAGCAGAAAGAAAAAACGTTTAGTCAGCAGCAAAAAGTTATTCTGTCGTGCTTATGTGTTCGTTCGTGTTTTTGGTTCGACATACATACATACATATGTGTGTGAGCTTTTGCAAGTGTGTTCGTGTAAGTGAGTCCGCATAACTTTCGTGCAGAGTTTATCGTGAAGAATTCCATCGGATATAAAGAAAAAATCATTGCTCAATTGGGTGCTGTCTTTACTGACGTAAGAAAATAATAATGTAGTTACAACTTGTTGGTGCGTGCGGTAATCGATAATTCGATTTTGTTTATCGATATTTGGTGAACGTAAGAAAAGGAAATAAGGTTTGCATTGGAAATATCCTTTTTGGTCTATACAAAATGAGATATGTTTACAAAATTCCAAAATCATTCTTAATATATTCATATTTCTATTAAATCATTTATTTATAAATGTAAACTCGTAACATTTTAATAGTACCGATTGTATCGACAGTAGATTTTTGCAATTGTTTACAAGTTCGAAAAACAACAAATATCGGTTATTCTAAGCAAAACAAACGGCTGTTGAACTGTTTTTGTGTAAAATATGGAAATGTATCTGGTTTCATGTGGAATGAACCCGTCTTCTTACTAAGGAAAGATCGACTGCTTAAACCTTTTTCTTAAAGAAGTCGTGTTCATTAATGGATTTGGATATCAAAAACAAAAGGATTAATTTTGGAGTACGTAATTCTACAATTCAAATTCTGATGCTAAAATTCATTTAAGAGGCTGGCAATGTCACGTTATGCAATTCTGTTTCATTGTAAAACCAAAATGAATGAAAAATGACATTTTCAGGACATAAATCAATTGCTCGAAGGTGGTTTTTAAATGCATCGTACAACAATACGGATTCGTCAAAAACCAACCAAAAACAATACATAAATGATTTACATACAATGTTAATAAGTATGGTAATATTGGAGCTATTTTTTAAAATCTTAACCAATCATTGAAAAATTGGAATACTTCGGAAATCACGATTCGAATTCCTTAGTTGCAGAATAATAAAGGAAACGAAGTAATGTAAATCGGAAAACGAACGATATTTGACATTTAAAGAAATCTGATGAAGAATTCGTAGAGATTACTGTCACACCATTAAATACTGGTATCGAAAAATCAGTTACTTTCTTTGTTCCTAAAAAAAACTTATCTTAATAGTGAATTACCCAAATTGGGATTTAAGAAATGTTTACCCGGCTTCTTCAAGGAAAATTGGTTTCTTCGTAATAGAGTGATACAAACAACTCTTTATTTACTTTTTTTAAAACTGGTCAGTTGTATGTTTCCAACATACGAATATAGTGGTTCATTTCCATGATAGCATCGATAAATAATATTGAATAATCCGAATTATGTGCTTACTTAATATGAAGATAGTTCAATTCAATTGTATAGACACAATCAATACACAATACTGCCCTTTAAGTGGCTGCATTACCCGTATATTAATGTTTGTAGGACTGTTTACAATTTCCGAAGGGAAACTCCACCCTTCATTTCTACTATTGTCCGATAGTTCCAAGTCATTTGGTCGTTTTAAATGTGTGTGTATACTAGTTCGGTATTCGGCAGTAAACAATTCATGAGTACATATACGTATATTTGTTGTTCTCTGATCTCCGATTGTAAAATATTGTATATTATCAAAAATAATAAGATCAGATGTGCTTAGTTGAAAACAAGATTTAATTTCTTGAGCAACTTTTGTTCGTACAACATATATTATCTATATTTTGCCACGTCGATTAAGAAATCTGGGATTACGATCAAGGGTCGTATCATACCGTTTGTTTCATATTTCTGTTGGCTAGCTTTTCCAAACTCCAAACAAACGTACATACAAGAAGGCAAGATAGGCACACATGTTTGAATGTGTGTTTTGCACTCCACCGTTTGTTGATCCGAACTTCATTTAATACCTCAGTTCAGGTATGTGATTTGAGGAATACTATGTATATCTATACAAATATATATTATATATATATATATATATATATATATGCTGTTTTTATTTCGTTGCCGATCGCAACACGATGAGATTTTTTTCTGCAAAAGCAACAAGAACAGCATTAAAAATTTCGATTGACCTACGGCACTTATACACTGATATTTTCTTAGTGCTACACGCACATCACTGCAGCTTGCGGCGAATTCGCTTCGCCGTAGTTTAATGCGCATTTGTTTCTCTTGGCGCACATCCATACATATAATTTCTGCATTTTATTCTTGAAAGTGCCCACCCTAGGCGAGCGTCGTGTTGTTGCTTTCCTGGGTTTTATTTAGTGAGTATTAGAGTGAGTAGGTGCGTAGTGATGACACTAATGAAATATCGATAGTCAGTTGTAAAAAAATACTGCTGCTCGATAATTTTTTTTTTTAATAGCGTAGGGATTTTAGTAGAGAAAGATAATATTATTGGGATTTATTATATAACTGCGTATCGTATATGCATATAGGTTAAGAAAGATACATATATGTATGTATGTACGTACATATACACCAAATGCAAGCCTATCGATAGCAGCTACCCGTATTCGGCGCCACAGTTGTTGTTGTCATTCGATTTGACGACGCCGTGAACTTCACATGTGTGTTGCCTTCTTTCGAACAGTTAATTAAGTTGGGAACGGAAATCGCTGATATGGAGAGTTAGGAGAACGCGAGACAAAGTAAACCGACCCTTGTAATAACTAACACCCACAGCGGAGGAGTCGGATCCGTCTCAGGATACCAGTGACTGGAGAATGGATAACGATGACGACGTGGTGGAGGTGGTGGACTGTGATTCCTCGCTGCAGGAGGAAATCAACGCCAAGCTAGTAGGGTTGCGAAAGTTTGTGCCTTTTATCCAGCGTGTGCGTATGAATTACCAATACACTCTTTCCGAGGTTCAGGCCCATCGTCTCGATGCACTGGTTGGTCTTCTGGAGCGTGAGTAAGTCAAATAGACCAAGGCAGGACCTCTGAACATAGTTATACAACGAAATCCACTCCTTTTTCAGAAACATATCCATGAGTACGCTTAACAAAATCGAGCTGATTATTGAAAAACTAAAGAAGAGGTTCAAATTGGTAAGTCAAGTGTTGGTCAGTGATTTCTTCATGTGCTAACCCATGATTTTGGATCCATAGAGGGTGCCGCTCATCAGTGAGGAAGTCATCGAAATAAAAGACCAGAATGAAGTCGAGTCAGCTGCGTCAACTCCCTTCGGTCAGTCAGGCTCCGCCGCACAGATACCCGACAAAGAGCCTCATCCATCCCATCAAGCTAAGTCTTTGGATGCTAGTGTAATGTTAGAAGGCATAAAAATCCCTTCATCAGCTGTCACGAAACCCAAGTCCTTAGATGTGGGGTGCAAAACAAACGGCTTTGCCAGGCATTCATCAGCTGCCATTGAGGCTACACCAGCGTTACCAACAGCACCAGAGTCGAAGAGCAGCTCTAGCGGTTGCTTGACCAACAACAAGACTCCAGGCTTCTTGTCTAAAACGAAACCTTTAGACCCTGTACCCAATTTAAAATCAACAAGTTCCTTGTACACCTCAAAGAATACAATGGCTCAGCTAAAAAATGACGGGCTTAATTCCGTATCGGAAACTCTTACCTCACCTAGAGTTGCGGTTCAGGCTCAACATATTACACCACCAACCATTCCAGAGCCAGCGTCAGCGCCAGCCACGTCTTATAAAAAAAGCGAGTCGTTACCAAGTCATGGCATCCGAGGAGTGTTAGCTGCTATGCAGGAGGCTCGCATGGAGGAAAAGAAGGAACGAGCTAGCGCCCAACTAACTTTACGATCAACCAAAGAATCAATTATTTCAGCTTCAAAAGAAACGAATGTTTCTCGCCGATCCCTTAAACTATCTCCACAGTTCACACGCCGTTCGTTAGCAAGTTCGATGCCAGCAGAGAAGCCGGACTTTGTGCGCCGGAGCGCACCGCACGTGCTGCCTGTTTCCCCGCAGCAAGGTACCACAAGACTTCCCGAAAAGGATTTATCCACGTCGTTGTCGCTACAAGAATCACCGGCTTTAGAAAGAGTTATTGCACTTAGCCCTTCAAACACGCTAGAGGAAGCCCGTAAGAAGCTAGCCGCTTTGCGTGGAGGATCTGGGGCCGGGATTGATGCGCTGCCGTTGGCCTCTAATATAAACGATCCACGCGGCAAGAAGATCTTGAACATGCCAAGTATAATTAGAGAGAATAACACCCGCGTGCCACCAGTGAACGCACCGCCCACTATTCGCACTCCGTCGCCTGTTCCGCCGGCGCCCAGTATGAGAAACGGAACGTGGACCCAATATGCAAACATTCCCAATGTCCAATGTGTTTCGGAGCATAACTCAGAATCTCCTGGAGATTCTCGAGTATATGGAGCTTCTTTCAATAAGGAGCCTAACCTTGAACAAAGACCCTTTTATGGCAGTGATTCCAGAGAACCACGTGATCCCCGCAATTGGCAGAAAAAGCCTTCCCACATGCATCAGCAGTTGCAGCAGCAACCACAAAAGTCTCAGATACCGCCATATTCTAACGATCCGCGTCGTGCTTCAAGCATTTACAACGGATATGAAGATTCGCCTAATAGCTGGCAACCAAATACTAATAACAATAATAATCAGAATGCTAACAGCAATGGAAATCTGTACAACAAGTCCAGCTGGAGTGGCAAAAAAAATGGGAATATGACCTCCACAAGAGGTGGAAATGCCCATGGTTTCAATGGATCACATAGCTTTCGAGGTGGGCATCGTGGGGGCCACAGTAATCGGAGCTTCAGTAATCCGAGTTCCCGCTTTGAACGCCAGACTGATGTACCTCGCACGTATGGGGAGCACCGAAAAGCCAAGGCTCGCGCAGAGGCGGAGGCCAAGGCTCGCGCAGAGGCGGAGGCCAAAGCGCGCGCTGAGGCGGAGGCCAAGACTAAAATTGCGGAAGAGCAACGCATGTTGGATCTGGAAGTGCAGCGTCTATTGGAAGTCAAAGAAAAACAAAAGCTCCTTGCTGCCGAGAAGCAGCAAAATGTGGTGAATAGTAAAACCTTAACGGAGGCATCGACCACTCATGTGCCGGAACTGGACACCTCTTACCGCACTGTCACTCTCGGTCCATTGACAAAAAAGCTTGACTTCCGGATCCCAAAGAAAACTCCCCCAACAGCACCAGCAACAACCCAAAACTTTGCTTATGGAGATGGGGACCACATAGGCTGCTCTTCTAATTCAAATTTCCTCACAAGCAAACCCTGTGATGCCCAAAAAGATAAAGGTACTGATAAGAATAAAAATAAGAATTTAGATAAGGCTAAGAATAAAGAGATGGTGGAGAAGGGAAAAGATATGCCGGAAAGCACTATTGACAAGTCCCTAAAGCATCACAAGCCGTTAGATAAGAAGTTAGAAAAGGAAAAGAATAGATTTGATAAAAAGGACCAGAAACTGGACAGGGAGCATGAGAGAAAGTCGAGAGTTCTTGACGATAGTTCATCGGAGAATACGGACAACTTGGAGAATGAACCACCTATTAGCAAGACTAACTCTTCTCCCGTTTCTGAGCTAGCTGCCAGCTCTCCTGATAGCCTCCAAGCTCAGCCAGCGCTTGAGGATTTGGGCAGCTTGGCCCCGATCCGTAAAGCGCCAAGTGAAAACAACTCTTCAACCTCGAAAGTAACGTCTTTAACAGATGGTGACGAGGAAGGTAAAGATACTAAAGATTCAGCAGAAAAAACTTTGAAGGACCCCTTGACTTCAAGTTTAGAAAAAAATATTGCGAACGAGAAGTCTAAGGATATTGCTACCCTACAAGGAGAAGGGGAGGATCAACCCCCAAAGCTCTCCAAGTTAAAAATTGTCCTTGGTCCCAATGCTCACACTTTGTTGGTGAACCCTGATAAAAGTACCCTGCAAAAGGAACAAAAGATTACAGACCCACTAGTTGATGAGCACGACGACGAAGAGGTGCCCGGCCCGTCTCTTCAACTGTTGCACCGAATCATGCAGCGGCGTAACTCCTTGGCTCCAACGGCCAGTAAGCCTTTGGTAGACAAGAAAGAGATCTCTACTAGTCTTCTCTACGAGGATCTTCAAGAACAGAAACGCAAGTCTCAAAACGCCCGAAGCCTTGCCAACATGTTTGAGAAGACCAGCGATAACTGCAGCGTGTCCACACATAACATAATAACCGGAAAACGTCGTACTCGAGGGTTAGAGACATCCTTCAACGAGACGCATCTCATCCGGAGTTGTTTTGGCTTGGGCCAGATTAACAGGTCGAAAGCAAAGGGCACAGATGGGAACACTACCAGGGCAAAGACTCCTGCTCCTAACCCAATCAAACTTCCAGAAGATTCTTTGGGTGTAAGTAGTCCTATTTCTACTGTAAATCGTAAGCGTAGGAGGCAAACTATTTGTAAGGAAACGCTGGATTTGCCGGTCGAGACTAAAAAGGCTCGCTTAGAGGACAAAGAGGCTAGGGGTACACCTGATAAGCAGCCGGCAGAAGGGGACATGGAGGCTCAGATTATGGATGTGAAAGAAAGTTGCTTAGAACCAACTTCTGGCCCCCTTTCCGAAATACAACCACAACCGAAATCTCGCAAGAAAACACAACAAAAACGTAATAAGTTAGGCAAGCGAGAAGACATTGTGGAAACAATTTGTAAGGAAACATCAGATTCGCCGGTGGAGACTATAGGGGCTCCCATAGAGGATAAAGAAACCAAGAAGGTCGGTGATACATCTGATAAACAGATCCCAGAAGACAACATTGAGGCTAGCCTTATGGATGTTCAGGAAAGCTGCTTAAAAACTAGCCCCGATTCCGCAATTCAACCACCGCCGAAACCGCGTGCAAAAGCCCGAAAGAAGCGTAATGAGTTAGACAAACTAAACGATGACATTGCGCAGATGTACAACCGCGAAGAAGTACTTCGGGCCACCGGACGCAGGGCTTGTACCCGCCGTTCCCGGACTCCATCTCAACCGCGATCCTCTAGCCAGCGATCCCGAACTCCATCTCTATCACGAGCCTCACCAGTCCCTGATAGCATCTCTAGCGTTTCCACATGCAGTCCGATTTTCATCCGGAATGTGGCGCGAAGGGGGAAAGCATTCAGTCCTGGAACCCAATTGTCGCGTAACGGTATTTATAGGCCACAGTTTAAGGGATCGCTAACGGCAACTAAGCTATTCAAGGTGAGGATTAAGCGGTGTGTTGCTTTGGAAGAGATTCTTAAAAAACAGGAAAGGGAGAACAACAAAAAGCTAGATACAGAGGAAAATAAACCATCGAAAAAGGACAAAAACAAGAAAAAGGAAATTCGTAACATAAATCCTGAATGGCATTCTAAGTCCAAGGCTGTCAATAAGTGTGTCGTGTGCTCAAAGCCGATCCGCAGGAGCCCTATCGGTCACTACATGATGCATCATAAGGAGCACTACGCCGCCCGCTTGCCACCTGAAGTGCTTGAGGAGCTCCGAGCTGGGCGTGGCAATCGTCCGGACTACTCGATTTCCCAGAAGCGAATATTTATGTTGCACTTCACCTGTCCATTCTGTCAAAAGACCCTTCTCCTTAGCCAGCTGAGCCTGGGCGATCATCTGTCCGCCCACATGGGCGAGCCGCGTCATCAGTGCTCCCGTTGTCATTTCCCGCAGATTCGCTACACAAAGCTGCAAAGGCACACCGCGACCTGTGGGCCTGGGGCCAAGCCCCTGAGTAATCCCAAAAATGGCCGTTTCCCAATGATGATACACGTGTGCCATCTCTGTCAGTTTGTCCAGCAGAACAAAGAGAGCATGGACCGGCATCTGATGGAGCAGCATGATCTGACGATTGAACAGCTTGGGAATGTGGAGCGCGAGGAATTATTACTTTGCTCGACAACGGACGTGCCAAGCGCAGGGTCAAATAACGATGGAAATGCCATTATTGAAGAGGATCAGGATGGCACGGCTAAAGCTAGTACAAGTGCTACTGCTGGGACACACAGTAAATCCAAGACAGCGAAAAAAAATAAACAGAAAAAGATCAAAATTCGGTTTAAGAATATGGCTAAAAGGTCCGTGCGTCTAGTTAAGCAAGAAAGAGCAGAGCTGGAAGAACGGGAGGCACAGAAGGAGGAGTATACGAAGAAAAAAGTGGCGGTGCCTAATATGAAGATCGAGGAGACCGTGACGCAGCTTCCACTGCCTCCGCCAGAGAAGGAACCCGTACTGGTTGTAAACGAGTGTCTGATGGACGTCGAAATGGACGCGGAAATAGAAGAAGCTGTTGTCGATGATAATGGCATTCAAAACAAGAGCATCGTAGTGGACGAAAAGCCTATCGTACTGCTCGATGTGGCCGCAGAACTGATGGAAACAGAGACAAACTTATTAGATCCAGTACCAGTCGCTCCCATGTTAATAGCGGAAAATGTTGACGTAGATGACGTGACTTCCCAACGACCACACTCTCTGCAGCCAACTGCTTCAGTTTGTCCCGAAGTTAGCTTGGCCGAGTTGGACGGGGATCTTCTCGATGGAATTGGCAGCGATTGTTCCGACATTGAGAGTGAAAACGAACAGGTGAACTCGAATGACGATGACGACGCTCTCACCGATGAGTGGGTTGATTTGGAGACGGCCAAGCGCAACTCCAAGAGCACTAAGAGCATTTTCCAAGTGTTTAATCGCATTTGTTCACGCCTTAAAGGCGCCCGACCCGGAAAACCAATGGCCAATAGTTCGGCGCACAGCAGCGATGGCAGCAACGATGTGCCCGATCCCAGCGAGCTGATGCCTAGAATGCGACCATTAGAGCCGGAGCCGCTGACGAATGAAGCGGAATCGGTGGCCACTGCGCCTGTGCCAGTTCCTATCACAGCTACGCGTGTGATCTCGCCGCTCAAACGGGTAGAAAATGTAGCCTTTCGAAAGTGTCCTACAGATGAAGAACAAAATCGGGCATCATATTATTGCGTGCAGCCGGGCTGCACTTTTCTATTCTCCAATGAACTTGAAGGTCTTGAGAATCACTTTACGTTGGAGCACCCACGTATTTTCTGGAGCGGAAAATGTGCCATCTGTGCGGACCCTACGACAGTAGGAGCGAATCTTAGTATTTCCGAGGAATTGCGTCACATGAGGGAAAGGCACATGGTGGACACAGCTACCGTAACTCTGCCTTCTGCAGTTACTGTTCCAGAGGTTGTTCCTGCTTCTGTTCCCATGCTTCCAAAGCTCAGAGTTCGCCGTTTTACTGGCGATCGATGTGTAGAACCACCTGTGGAGCAAAGTCAACCTACAGAAGTTGTTCCACTCGATGCCATTGATCAGCCCAATGAGATGCTTAGGGGTTTGCTGGTGGCGGATCATAGGCCACCTAACAATCACGTTGACTTTCATGCAGCCGGATTGGGTGAGTTTTTTTGCTCCAAGCCGAATTCTCCGCCGAAGGAGCCATCTGTGGAGCAGCCCTCGATAATCAACTATCAAAGTGGCTTGGGCTTGTCGATTAGCCAGGTTTACAGTAGGGATCAGATGACTGCGAATCCAGTGCTCTCGCCAGCTGTTCAGGGCTCTCGGCCTGAACTTCCGCCTGCTATTGCATCTCAAGAAAAGAGTCGAAATCGATTTCGTTGCATGGCCACTAACTGCCTTTTCACCGCCCACAAGGTTATGTTCGTTCGGGAACACATGAAGTTTCACCGCTTCAGTTTCAGTACCGGCTACCTGAACTGCTCCTACTGCTCTCATGTGGCAGTCGATGTGGACGACTATTTGCGACATGGGGTAATCATTCACGACCTGGCGCCACTTTCCGATCTAGAGAGTGGAGCTGAGCCACCCTCCGTTAGTCAGCAAATCCTGGATGTGATCAATCAACGAGGCAATGCGAACAATGGTAACCTCGCTACCACGAACGCCACGGCCGTGCTCACAGTGAACGGCAATGACCTAGCGGCAGCCGACAGTTCATCTGCTCCTGTTTCCTTATCTGTTGCGATAACTGATCTGCTTAGACCCACCGGATACAGTGGTGAGTGGACTAACCTATACCTTATATTTTTAACATATATTAACAATCATTCTTTGTAATCCCTTTACCAGAGGACAAACTATACGCCTGTCCATTTAAAAACTGTACCGTGCGACTGTCGGGGGAGCAATTTGTAATCCATCTGCGTTACCATATCCGCAGCACTCACAATGTCAGTAGTCAGGTAAAGTGTAAATACTGTACACAAATGTTGGAACCGCCAGCACTTCGTACGCATCTGCAACAAGCCCATGCCCGCCACAGTATCTTCTGCGCAATCTGTTTGGCCACGGCGGTTAACAGGCGTATTATGCTGTATCATATGCGCAATGAACACCGAGTAGCTTTTGACCTGGCCAACCGACAGTTGCAGTTTATCCCGCTGCAAATGCAGCCTAATGCTGTCCCTGGAAGTACCGTGGAAACCGAGTGCTTTGTGGCTGCCGTGGAAAGTCCCTTTGAGGCCCACCAAATGCACATTTTTCATCAAAAGCTTTTCGCTGAACTGGAACGCCGACGTGTTGGTACAAAGACTGACTTCCGCTCTTCTGAAGTGCGCCTTCTGCCTAGTAAACCGATATTTGACCAAAAATTGGGTTGTGCTGAGTGCACATTTTCTACCTCGTTGCGGTTCGTACTGCAGAAGCATTTACACGATCATAAGGAGAAGGCAATTCGGCAGGCCTACCAAACGGAAGAGCAGCAGTCGGTTTTAAATTCCGAGGAACCGAGAACTTCCGGGGCAAGTTCCCAAGCGTTACTGCAAGTGGATCCTTCTGTTCCCGGCATACATAAGCCTCTCAAGCCGCCGTGTGCATATGTGCCCTCAAATATTCGGTACATCTGCCCCGTAATGCGATGCAGCCTGCTCTTTTCCACGGAATCTGGACTGCATCAGCACATGATTTTACAGCACAAGTATTCGGAATGGATGTATTGTCAGCATTGCCAAATTCATCTGGGTCAGATCGGTGAACAGAAGTATTTGACCCACCTGTTAATGCACAAACGGCATGTCTTTCAGTGTGGGGCTTGCGCCCGTCATAATAGTAAGCGCGCCAAAATCGAGCGGCATATCCAGGATCTTCATAATAACCAAAATGTAGACGTGGTGGTACACCGCCGAAATGATACTGACAAAACGACAAACTGCCGCTGGCTTAAAGCGCGTAAGTGTAGATCATGGGCATCCCTTATACGAAGAGCCATCTCTAATAGTTTCTTTTCTTTTCTTCAGCAAAACCATCTCGTCACTCCCAGGGGGAGTTCATCTGTAACCTGTGTTATGTGTCCCTTCCTTCGGCCGTGCAGATTATGGCACATACGATGTCCGTTCACGAACGAGGTTACCAATACCATTGCCCCTACTGTACCTTTGGCAACAACGTTACCACCGCGGTCATCGATCATATTCTGAGAGAGCACCCGGGGAAGCGTGTGCAACCGGTGCAAATCTACCAGATTTCGTCAATGAAAAACAAGCAAACTATCGGCTTCTACTGCAATATTTGTCATCATGTTGCCAGCACCTTTCAGAGGATCACAACCCATTGCGAGTCGAAACACAAATCGCGCTTCGAATGGCAGTGTCCGCACTGCGAGATCGGGATGATGGGGGAGCGATGTATATCCCAACACATTATATCGGAGCATCCGGAGGGAATAGGACTTGCAATAACCCAGTTCGAACGCGTTATTAACGAAATACCCGACGACTTGAGTTGGAGTATGGGGCAGCCGATCGTAGAGGAGAAAGAAATGGACCAGTTGCCGGAAACGGACTTGCCGCTGCAGGAACAGGAAGTAGGTCCGACTCTGGGCCTGAGTAATCTTGGGTCGAACGGAGAATCAGCTACAAGACAGTTTTTGGATCAACCCATCGTTACGGATGTGGTGGACCTGCTGGCTTCAGAAGACGAGTCTGAGGAGTCCAGCGAGAGTCCAGATGAACTGGTAAGTGAAGTGGCGGACCAGAATAAAGTTTATGCTCTTACTCTAATTCCGATACATTTATTATTGTCATTAAAATATAGAAAACCGTGGAGTTCGCCTGTACACACTGCGATGAAACGAACAGCAGTTTGGAAGACCTGCGCACAAAGCACTGGGCCCTTGTTCATCCGGACCTGCCCTTCTACTTCCGCGTGCAGCCCCAGCTGCTCTGTCCAGAGTGCAAGAGCTTCAAGGGTAACGCAAAGAAACTACGCGAAGAGCACCTTTTAAAGGTACATTCCATCCGGAGCTTCGTAGCCGCAGACACTCGACGTCCGGCAGAATGCGCCTACTGCGACTACCGCTATAACAACTGTAACGGCCTTTCGAACCACATTAGTCGGGTGGGTCACCTGCCTAATGACTTAAAGCATGTCACAAATGGTGAACTTGATGCTCTGTTGTTGCTCAGTGCTTGTGGAAGCGGTGTAAACGAGTATTACCAGTGCGATCTGTGCAGCGTGGTAATGCCCACGAAATCCGCAATTGGTCAGCACGGTCAAGTGGAGCATAACAAGCCCGGCGAGCGCTTCTGCTTCCGGCAGCTGAAGGAAACGGTGGTTTACCACTGCTTCTACTGTATGTTTAACTCCACCGATGAGTTGACTACGTTGCGCCACATGGTGGACCACTACAACCGCTTCAAGGTTTGCCATTTCTGCACACTATACCTGCCTGGTGGCTTTGATGAGTACATCCAGCACTGCTATTCATACCACCGCGATGATGTACACCGCTTCCGGAGCGTGCATCCGTTTAGTGAACTGAAGAAGTTCCTCATGCAGGTGCACTTCCAATTCCAGAACGGCTTGATTATTACAAAGAGTAGCTTACGCTATACACGATACAATACCGAAACAATAATGCATAAGTTAAATGCTGAACTGATGGCCAAGGTCCAGCGCCCGCCAATTCCACGGCTGCATATCAGACTCAAATCGCCGGGACAGTCGCAACTAGAGGCCCAGGGGCATCAAACTGCTCCGTTGGCACGTATCGCAAAACGACGGAAGACGCTAAATCCGGATGAACTTCTTCGTATAGCCCGCCAGGAGGACCAAGCTCAAAAGCAGGATCAGTTTCAAGGTGAGAGAACGACAGTAGCGATGAATTATGCCGCTGATCCTAATGGCACTTTCTTAGCTTTGTCGACGTCTGCTATTCCTTCTCCGATCGTAACCTTTCCGACTGTGTCGGAGGTGGGCAATCTGCCCCGTTTACAAAAGCGACGCAACAGCCACGTGGTCCGTTCCGGACCCTTAAACTAGATAAAGACTAAGACCATACCAATATTATTTATACTTTGAAATTACTCTTTCGACTCCCAGCATCGATTATGAACCGTAAACGTACTTTGTGCTAGTTCCAAACTAATAAAGCATTAAAGAATATCTTTTTTTTTTAACTTAATTTAAACATTTTTACTACATTTGTAAGGTAATTATTAATAATTAGAAGCAGCAGGACAAATTGTATGACGATATTACGCCGGATTCAATTAATAAAACTATAATTTTAGATAAAACGGAGTTTCACTAAGAATTTATATTTAATTTTCATATTTTAAGTCAAGAATCCTGAATAAATCTTATTGCTTAGCAAGCACCATCATGTTGGTATTGAAAGATGGGCACCGAGTTACTCTGACCCCGACTTCTCAGCACGCTGGCGCAACGCACTTGATTATGGAACTCGCACGGAGTGGCGAAAGTCACTTGGCGACCATTGCGAAGAACGCATACAGGACGGTAGTACCGTGGACAGCTGTATTCACAGCTCTCCTCATCCTCGTCTAAATTGGCCGCATGGGCCTGAGCCAGTATATCCTCGGCATCTTCCTCATCCTCATCTTCATCTTCATCTCCATCCAGATCTTCATCATTATCCAGCGTTGTGGAGTATTGATATCCACCGGAATCACCGTTTCCACGGTTGTCTTGCCAGCTCCATTCCTCGATAATGGTGTGCTCTGTCTGTACTTGCACTCCGGCAGACTGCTGAATGACTGCCAAGATAAGGGTCACGATTATAAAACGCATATTGCTTCCGCTCCCAATGCTCTACTGGATTCCTGGTGGCCCCGTAGACGAGCTTCTTAAATAGACAACGGTGCTACCAATCTCCAGCAACGACAGTTGTTCAAATAATTTCCATTCTTCGGGTGTTTTTGATGTGACGCCACATAAACAATTGATAGAGCTGCCGAATAATATGAATATTCTAAAGTAAAACAAGGCCACAAAAAGTTTATTTTTTTGGTGTGGTGCCAAACTGAAAGTCACTTCGTGTTTTAGTGTCAAAGCAAGAATAGATTGTGTATGACGGTTTGCTCATTTAATATTATCTTCACATGAATGATGGATATAAAAATGTATATTTTGGCGAAGACCAAGAAAGTTTAAAGACTGATAAGCGTGCTGTTGGCACCTATATCTCATCCATATAGCCATGCTCGTAAGCGTGACGCACTATTTGGAAGATCTCCTCGTTGGCTGCATCACCGGCTATGTCCAGCGATAATTGATAGAAGGCCGGACCGTGCATGTCCGTGTCAAAGAGCCGGGATAATTCAGCACAATCAGTCTCGCTGGCCAACAGACAAGGCATGAAATGCATGCATACCATCACCCCGTAGAAGGCATATCGCTTGAAATGGGCCTCAAAGCGTTTAAAGCTACGGATATAACGGAAATGATAATTATAAAATAATTCGACTTGTGGAATGGAAATACAAACACCACCGACCTGTAGTCCCCTAGGAGCTGCTCCACTTGCTCGTCCCTCAGCTGATCTCGGTTACGATGTAACACCAAGTCTAGCATTTCGATCATGCTCTTGTGATACTTCTTTAGCAGATAAGAAAAGAGCTCCTCCCTTCCATCGGAAGGGGTGTTCATGTACATAAAGAAGCTCAGGTCGATAGCAGTGGTGCTGAAGCGTAGCTCCTGGAAATCAATGGTTTTAATGGCATCCACCTTAGCATTGTCGCCGTAGTGAAATAGCACATTGTTACGATTGTAGTCCCCGTGAAGGAATGTGGCGAAATGACTATCAAGCTGATCTTCGGCACAAGATGTAGTGCGGATTCTCTCTAGCAGATGCGTGGGATTGGCAAAGTACTTCTGACGCAAGCGCTCGATGGCGGCATCAAAGCCAGTATCAGAGTTTTTTAGGAGCTGTTTCTTTTGCCGGTCGTAGAATTCATAGAATCGATCGAAGGCCACGCGATATAGAACATCAAAACTAGACTTGCCTGACCTGGAAATGAATGACATGTCCACAATGCCCGAAAGCAGACGGGCATGAACCTGGGGTTGGAGAATTTTTGTGGCATAGCCAAGGGCATGAAAAGGTCCAATGAGTTCCACCATGGCCTCTAATTGATCGCGACGGAGTGTTAAACGCGGGCCAAGCTGGTAACCTTCGCCCTTGAGATGTTTAAGAGCTAATACGGATTCGCGACCACCACCTTCAAGGCCTGCAGGAAAGACAAGGGTTAGCAATGCCAGGATAATCTTATGATTTTACCCACCATCGACCATTCCGAACTTGGCAAAGTAGCAGCGCGGCACCCAGTTAGCCACCACCTCGGTAGACAGATGACTGGTCCGCAGCAAGTGCTCATAGGCGGGAAGTATTTCGCAATAAGCGAACACCTCGTTGCTAAACTGGATGTACGAGTTGCTCTGCTCGCGAAACTCCTCTGAACCCTTCATGAACTTGACCATGACGACCTCCGTTCGCTTGCGCTCTGCTGACACCAGATCCAGCTCCACTGTGTACAGGGCGGACATGAATCCGTCCAGCCCATTCGAGCACTCCACTCGGTGGCCCTCCAGAGACACGCTGGATCCGAAGTACTTGAAGATCTCGTACACCAGACAGCGCTCAACGTAGTCCAATTGCTGCTGCTGCGTCGACATTTTGCGAATGGTGAGAGTTGCAATTGGTCTTGATTGTCGCTTCAATTGGCAGTGTGTTGACCCGAGCCCAATCCCCGATAAATATATAACCGTCCTGCTCACCAACCAGTTCCTCAGTCTCACCAAGGCTGTATGGGGAGCAGTTGGGGCGATGGGTCGTATATATACTGTCGCTGTAATCACACTTGGCATCACTCCCCGAAGAGAGGCAATCTAAGATTATCTTGGTGAAATTCATCAAGATACACGCAAGGCAATTGCCCAGTGATCCACAAAAATATATTACATGCTTTGGAACCGCTTAACATTTTAAATTTTGGACCTCGCACAGCTGATGTGCAACAGCTGATTGGCCAGGGCTGCAAAATTTAACATTTATCGAATAGTAAGTGAGCTAACATCCCAAAATATCTTGCAATCCATCCGAAAATGGTTAACTTGCTTAGAAGCAAAGGTATAATATACAGCTAAACTAAAGATATAACCGCTTTAAAGATAACACCACATTTTTCAGTCAATCTGTGTGTACAGATGGTCGTGACATACGACCGTTACTTGTGATTTTTCTTGTGACCGGCTAAATGTGAGTGTCCAGCCCTAGATTGCAGTGCGATTAAAAAACAGAGCACAACTTGTTTCTGCTCGGCGAATCATTATTTTTGTTATTTATTTATCAAACACTATTACAAGCTGCAGATTAATAATGGGTAAGTACAGGTAGTACCTCACCTTAACCGACCTTCGAAATAATTAAGCGATTAGCGCCCATCAACTCTTAGATTTTGTTTTTAATTAAAAGTGTTATGTTAAATTACAAAAAAATTTTATCACAATTAGAATTATTTTTGTTTCATCCTTTTGTCGCTGTTGTTGTTGTGCTTTTAATAGAAAAGTGTAAAAGTTGAATGAATATTACAATGGATTGTGCGCCAGGAAGCCTAAAACTTGGAGTCCTCGTTTCTGTGGGCATGTCGTCGCTTGCCTAAAAAGACATTGGGATCCGATCAGCAAACATACACATACAAATACACATAAACATAAACAAACAGGATAGATATTTGTACTTACGGCCGTTGCAGTGGCGACCATAGAATCCCGGATGGCACTTGCAGTGCTTGTGGGAGAGGCAGGTGCCATTGCGGCACTTGCAAATGGACCTTTGTTTGCGTCCAATCTCACAGTGATCACCCCGTAGTCCATTGGGACAGCGGCACATGTTGTTCCCGATGCACCTGCCCTCATTTTTGCATGGGATTACGCACTTGGCTGTGAAGAAAATCTGTCAAGATATATCTATCAGCAAGAGAGGACCTTCGCTACTTACAGTACTCGCAGCGCAGGCCGTAGTAACCCTTGGAACACTGGCACTTGTCCTTCTGTATGCACTTGCCGCCATTCAGGCACTTATCCTTACAAATACCTATGGAGTACAAAAAGTTTATTAGTTATGGTCCATATTCATATTTCTACCACTCTAAAAGCCCGGCTGTTCTTTTATAATGCTCTGGATTTTTCCCCAAAAACAAAATATCACTAACCACACCTACTTCTTCACAGCCGGAATGCTGAGAGGAATCCTCTGCAGGCCCCAGCTGCGTGAGCTCTCAATGCGTTGCCTTAGCTCAGCAGCCGGAGGATCAGGCACCACGGAAAGAGCCAGCCCTAGATCGAAGCCTCTGCGTCCACGACCAAATGCACTGACCGACGAAATAATACGAGTCGATCATGCAGGTGAATTGGGTGCAGATCGCATCTACGCTGGGCAAATGGCCATTTTAGGTAACGGACCTCTTGGCAAGACTATTGGACACATGTGGGAGCAAGAAAAAGAGCACCGGAAGCAGTTCGAGCAGCTTATTCAGCAACATCGTGTGCGTCCGACAATCATGACGCCGCTTTGGAATGTGGCTGGGTTTGTGCTGGGAGCCGGAACCGCCTTGATGGGAGAAAAGGCGGCCATGGCTTGCACAGTGGCCGTGGAAACGGTGATCGTGGAGCACTACAACGATCAGCTCCGCCAGATCATGGAAGCACCGAACCCAGACAAGGTACAAATACTCTTTGTTATCTATCCGTTCAGTATAACAGTAATATCGTTGATTTTAAAGGAGCTGCTGGCGACAATTACCAAGTTTCGTGACGAGGAGCAGGAGCACCACGACACGGGCATCGATCACGGAGCCGAGCAGGCGCCTTTTTACCAGGCCATGACGGAGGTGATCAAGTTTGGCTGCAAGACGGCCATTGCGATCTCGAAGAAGATCTAAGCTGGAGCAGTTGGGCGCCTTGTATATATCAAAATTAACTGTTCCCGCACCGTGTTAAGCATTAAAAATAGAGATAAATGTCCAGTACAGACGATTCTACTCACCACCTTCGCACTGGGTGCCCTGGTAGCCCTCCGGACAGGTGCAGATAGACGGCGCTGTGCAGTTGCCGCCGTTGAGGCACTGAGGGAAACAGAAGGCCGTTTCGCAGTATTGGCCCGTGTAGCCCACGTTGCACTTGCAGATGTGGTGCTCGTTGCAGTAGCCGTTCTTGCCGCACTTCAAGCTGCATTCTGGATCGGGAGCTTAAGTTTATTTAGTTTAGTTCTATCGTTCGCAAGTCACGAAGCATTAACACTCATTTAACATTGTCACACCTAAACTCACACCTAACGGAGCACAATCGGAACCACAAAGAAGGGAAAAGTTGGAGTGGAAAGTGGATACGTAGATCGACAGATAAATACAAAAGCGGTTGGCGTGGAAGCGGAGGATTGATTAAATCTCTAGGGCTATCAATATTTTATCATCCAAAAACGTTGAAGAATTTTGAAAATCAAAAATTAATGCAACTTGCGAAACAAAAATCGATGTGTAAGTATATTAAAATTTTTAAAACATATTTTTTCCCTAAATATGATCACACATTTTTGAGAAGCTCAAAAAGATTAATTTAAAGATAGAATGATAGTAATTTATATAACAAAATATTATTCAACGATTTGTTATCTATTTTTGGATGCTTCCTTTTGATAAGAACCCCAAAAAATCAAATCGTTTTGTGAGACGGGAGAAAGTGGAAAGCAGGGCGCGGAAAAGCCGTGAAAAGCGACTACATGGCTGGGTTGGGATCGAATGAAAGACGAATGGGCGGGGACGGCATGCTGGGGGTTGGCTCAATGAGCTAATGGGAGGAGTGTGCACAACATGAAGATGCTAAATTACAATTACTATCGACTATATAACAGCATTGCTTGATATTTCATATACACTACCTTGCAAAGTTGTTAGTGAAGTAGGGTTGGAAGCGTCTATATCATACACACCTCTGTGGGCGCATTCCTTTTTGAAGTTGAGGCGAATGGGTGTGCCAGAGAGCGGCTTATTGTGGCGCGTTTGTATCTTAAGCCCGACGTTGAAGGACGCTGTGCCGGAACTGTTGCCAGTGCAGGGCAAGAAGATGCTAAAATCTGGCTTGGGATGAGGCTCGTTGCCGGGATCTATTCTTCACCGCTGCGCATGCAGCACCCTCTACTTACTCTTCTGTTCCTGCGGTATACGTCCGCTCTTGCGGATTGACAGCGTCGGCGCCTTTAGTATGCTCTCGTCCATCGTCTGCAGACGGTCAAAGTCGTAGAAATACTTTCGGCGCCCTGACTTCCACGTGAAATTCACGTAGTTCACCTCGGAGGGGATCACCAGGAAATTATACAGCGTGGTGTCGCGCAGGTCGTTTGTCACCCGGCTGTTGTGGATGGCGTACAGGCGTTCCGAGTATCCCTGCGGGAAGTAGAGCGCTATGAAGGAGAAATGAGTCACTGAATATCGTGCAGTAAGTATTCATTAAATTACGCGCATTGTTTAAAATATCTAAAAACTAAGTCCGACCAAAGTGTTGGTATATATTAGGAAAAATGTAAATTTTTAGGATTAAAACTTACCGGTCAGCATCTTGAGCTGCTGTTCGTTGATCCATAGCGAGATTCCGCTCTCCTCGTTACGATTGTGCCGGTTGCCACTGCCTCCTCCGTTTCCGGCACCGCTGCCATTAGCTCCTCCGCCGCCGCCTTGTTGTTTCTTCCGCTGACCCCGTCGAGGCTGGTGGCCAACTAAATCGCTGTCTTGGTCCGGAAAATTTTCCAGTCCATCGCTGGTGTTGCCATGGTTCTCTTCTGAACTGGACGAGTCCGATCTTCTGTTATTGTTATTGTTATTCCGATTGTGGTGTTGGCGACACTCGAGCTGGCCGATACAGAGGAGCGTGTGCACGATCAGCACCAAATAGAACCACTTGACCAAGCAGCCGATGCCCTGATGTGTCATAGTATACCCAGCTGCCAAAGCAAATAGAAACAGAGAACGAAATTAAAAATAATCACTAATAAGCAATAACCAATCCTGTCCAGATATCCCATATCTGATTGCTTATTGTGGATCTCTGATTGCTAATCCACACCCATGCAGTTTGTTTATCTCTTTTCATATTTACAGACCCTCAATCTATTTGCGATTCGGTTTCGCTGCCTTGGACGCGACGTATTGCAAGCGTTATCTATTTGTCGGAGGGCATTGGGTTGGCTTAAGAGTTATGGGTTTGGATTTCCAGAAATAGTGTTTATTAAGACATTTCATTTAAGACATTTCAATTTCTTTTATAACTATTCCTGAGCTTATTTAGTAGATATAATGTAATGGTTTTCAGGAATAACTACATCTTTGTGTTAATAAGCCTAAAATGATCTTACCATTACCGCAAATTGCTAACAGAAGATCTTGATCTAAATGCTCTTGCCTTAATCTGATTTAAGACTGTTTCGATTTGTCTTTTTCGATCCTTTTGCCGCTTGTGCCATCAGAAGCATAAACGAAGAGGGAAGACGCCAACCAAAAATTGAAGTATCCCCATTCGTATGCATCCCCATCCTGTGCATCTCAGCCATATTGAAACGGTGAGGGAAGTCTCTCAAGGAGGGGCAGAGTTGGAAGTAGAGCAGGTACAAAGTCGTTAGCACTTTGCCTGGTGTGAAGTTACCCAAGTCAACGAGGGCCAGCCCAGTCGCAGATCTCCATCTCCAGCCAGCCAGCCTTGTTACACGGCAGACCGGACAGCCAGAAGCCAGACGTTTAACACAGCCAACAAGTGAACGAACAAAAGAGCATAAAGCGGTCCAGTGCTGATCGTTGAGCTTATTTTTCACCAACTTCAGTGGATACCCAGCTCGATTCTCAGTTTGGTAAGTACTTTAGTATTTATATAAAAATTACCTATTCCCTTAATCAAAAACACTTATCGGCATCAGGTTCCGAAACCAGGTTTCAATAGGTCAAGTTGTGGTCAAGTTGTGCTAGACAATATACAATCCAATATGCATATCTAGGAAGTGATTTCTTATGGCGCATAAAATATTTTAACAAGTTTCTTATAGTGGGGTTCCCATTAAGTGCCTGCTAGAAAACTGGCAGCACTGCAAACTGGACAAGCGATCGTTCGAGCGTTGTCTGTCCATCACATCACGTATGAATGGGTTGCTTCGAGATCCGGGGACAGGGCATACGACGATGATGGGCCAGAAAACAAGTTAAGCTGTCTTAATAAGATCAAACACGGCGATTATGAGGAATTACTTGGAGATAATGACATCGGCCAGCGACTCAAAAGACACTCGATGGTTGTGCTCTCAGCTCTGGAAGTTGAGAGATCGGAGATCGGAGATCAGCACAACTCTAAATCCTCTGCAAACCGGCATGGGAAACGATTTCGTTAAGTGAACTAATTGCTACATCTGGATTCCCAGGGCTCCCACGTACATATGCACTTACTTGTATATCCGATACATAATTTAATCAGTGGTTCAAGGATCGTAGGCGGAAGTACTGTCTTTGGCATAAAACAACGCAATACGACTATAGTACACAAATGGGAATGTTATATGGCATCGAGATTGGAGCCTAAATCGGGATTGCTGTGGGGATCTCGGGATCGGGAGCGGGCCAGACCTCAATTTCCTACAAATATAGCGTTGTTCACGCTTTGTTTTGAAATTATTTTTATTTTGTGTTAACTAATGGTCGACCGATAAGCAAGCACATGATGGCGATAGTCGGCTGTGGCGCATAGATAATCCCACTCATGGTCAATCTAAGTTCGAATCGAAATGGGAATTTCTAAATAAACAGCGCTACCAAGTCGAGGTGTACGGGAAAGCTTAGTCAGCGTTGGGTATTGATAGGACTGCATTGAGACCTACCAAAATGTTAACTAAACCTCAAGATGCATTTTAAAAACCCCTTACGCAAATCTTTCTTGTTCTCAGCGTAGTTGTCATCGATAAAAGATCAGGTGCGGCAAGAGAAAAAGAGGTGAGGATGAGCCGTCTGGAGGGGCAGCATCATTATCAAACTCCATATCAGGTCTATGGAATGAAGATGAAACCTTGTTGTTGCTGTCGTCAACGATATAATTGCTTCAACTTGAGAAAAAGGGACAGATTAACATTTTAGCGTGAAACGGGCGACAAGACAACAAGAGGGGAAAGAAGGAGAGAGGGAGATGGTGAAGGTAATGGAGGAGTAGGACGAGGAGGAGGAGTAGGAAAGAAAGAGAGGGAGGAGGAGCAGTAGCAATCAAAGTAGGAACAGCAGCAACAACAATTTGTTAGCTCTTTACGATTATTGCCTTTCTCACACCTTATTACCAAGAAAATAAAGAAGCAGCATCCACAGGGCAACAACAAATACGCGACGATGAGACGTGAAAATAAAAAAAAAACACACACACACATGCCCAAGGCACAACAAAAGGCAACAACAACGGCAACATAGCCGAGAACAAGATGCTGCCCCTTGGAGTGGACTGGACTGGAGTGGACTGGGATGGTATTGAGACTGGAAAAGGGAGTCGGGCAGAGGAGTGAGGGACTGGAAATCGCACACTCACAGTCACTCTCTCACACCCATAAACGCTGTACTGCAAGTGCAAGTGAGAGTTAAGAGAGTTAAAAAACAATCTCTACAAAATATTTATATATACTTACATATTACATCTATTATAGTAACTAAACTACCTGAAGATTATAAATCACCTAATCAGTTTCCTAAATGTATGATAGAAAATGTCATGAATCTGGTAGCTAGATGGTTTAATCACAAGAATTTATGCCAAGAGACGCATCAAAGATATACCAAGTTTATTAATATTTTGTATGTGTATACTATATAAGGCGATAACTTGTTGGTTTAAAACGTAGAGGTCATCGGCTAAAAGGATTTCAAATGAAAGAGCGAGCCAAAGGATGAGCGACAGGGACAATTATATAGTGGCAAGAAAGAGGGAGAGTTACTTTCCCAGCTACCGATTTAGACGATGTCCAGTGCTCAACAGCAAAAACAACAACAAGTGGCACTTGCGGCTCTGTTTGTTTAATGAAACAACAGTCGCACACACACCCAAACACCCAAACACACACGCACACAAACACACCAACACGATCGAGTCTGTGTGAAACACCAACAAAAACACCTTCGGCAAATAAAGCAGACATTGCGGCAACAGTCGACTTGGCGATACTCTGCACCCCTCTAACCTTGGCCAATAGGAGGCCAACTCGGTAAGCAGTTCTCGGGCATCGAATCTTTGGTAAACTCCCGAACCTACTTAACAGCAATTTACCACTTACTCCTGCTGATTTGATAAAAGTTTTTATACAAAGATTATAGATCACTTTTAAGAAAACACAGGTTTTTTTTTCGCTGTGCAGGTCACCGTGTGACACCTGACATAGAGAGACAGAGAGAGAGAAAGAAAAAACTAGAGAGTGATGGGCTATTCGTACATCTCTAGACTGGCGCAACCCATTAATCCTGGCTGCTACTCCTACTGATGATAACGATCACCAATTGAGTGGCAGAAGAGGGTGGGAGGTGGCGGGAGAGAAGCAAGAACAGAAGGAGGAGAGCCAGACAACGGGCGGATAACAACGCCTGTCTCCAAGTGGGCTCAAGTGCTACAGGAGGTGGAGGAGGATGAGGAGCAGGAGAAGGGGCAGCGAGACACGCAGGCTGTGGAGAAGATGGACGGACGACCGGCAGCATCAGCAGCAAAGCCAAAAGCAGAAGCCGAAGCTACTTGAGAGCCACAGAGTTCCAATTCCAAAGAGGCGATCGTGTGTCTATATGCATGCTGAAGTGGCAGGCAACGCGGAGTTGCACAGCCACCATTCCACTCCATTACCAGTTCGCAGATCGCCGCTTCCAGCATCCAACATCCAACATCCAGCTCCAAGGAGCTGGCAATCAAATGGCCAACGTTGTACAATGACTTTCACGCCTTTCGAGCGCGCCAAAACGGACAATTCAAGTACAGGCGGCCAAGAGGCAAACCCAGATACCCTACCTAACTAAATAGATTTAGGCTTGTTCATTTGAGTGTTAGCCACATAAACATGTCGGAATTGTGATATTTGTATTATTATTATTTCCAGAATGTATGCTTTTTGCTTTTCTTTTTGATTGCAAGACATTTACTAGAGTTTTTATTGTATCATCCTCAGAACTAAAATTTTGCATCGAAAATCAAGATAATATCTTAATTTTTTTAAACATTTACGAATATTAAATCGGGATTGGGTAAGTGTTTGATTAAATAGCTTTAAAATCGAATATAAAAGTTTTCTTTTTAATGCTTTAGCTGATCTGATTTGTGTGAATATTTTTGTGTTATCAATGATCGGCCTCTCGTTTTCAATTTCCGTTACGATCAATCAGCACTTAAGACTTCAATCTAAACTTCAACTCTCGATCGAGGAGGGGAAGAGATATTAATGTAAGTTTAACGGACAACCGTCCCATTGATATGGCAAAAAAGTGTTTATAGTTTAGTTACGTCTTATCGCTAAATTACGGTTGGGTGCGATTAACTCTGGATGTCTGGTAATATTCACAACAATCACAAAGTTAAGATCACAGGTTAGTTTTCAATTTAAAATTTGCACACTTTACGTACTCGTTGGTTATCGCCGGAGCAAAAAAAAAAAAAGAAAAGAACGGTCGTTTCGTTTGGATTGGCGGTTGACTTGGTTAACAAATCAAAACAGGGGAAATCAAATACAGCTTTATTTTATATTTTAAATTCCTCGAGCCTTAAAGATTTCACAAATTTCGTTGCGACGAAAGCTTTTTTTAATTTAGACACAACACGAAAAGCATTGGCTTTTGAGAATACGAAATCGCGCCGAGTTTCGAGATGCGACCGTCGCGCTGCAGCTCCTGAGCTGATCTGATCTGGGCGATCCAACGAATACCGGGGAACGTTAACGTTTCGATTGTATCTCAGAGATGCCCACTCCTCGGTGAAGTCACCAATAAAAAGGCTAGAAAGAGCGGTCGTTTACTCTAAAGGTACTCTTATATTTCAATTTGGCAGGCATTAATATTGTGTCTTCGAAGAATGAAATAACATAGAATTAATTGATTTAATAATTATAAAACAGTCATTGGTTTAGCTGTGCGCCTTGTTTTAACCGAGCTAGAGCTAAAATACCGAAAATAATGTTGCAAATTTCTGTTAAAAATCGGTTTACTGCCCTTAAAACAGAGCTTGTACAGAAAAATCAGAGCAATAATGATAAAAGCAAGTATAGGGGTGTTAAGTTTCGGTAGTAAGCTGCATAAAACAGTCATTGGTTTAGCTGTGCGCCTTGTTTTAACCGAGCTAGAGCTAAAATACCGAAAATAATGTTGCAAATTTCTGTTAAAAATCGGTTTAATTCCCTTAAAACAGAGCTCGTACAGAAAAATCAGAGCAATAATGATAAAAGCAAGTATAGGGGTGTTAAGTTTCGGTAGTAAGCTGCATAAAACAGCCAATGTTTTAGCCATGCGCCTAGTTTTGACAAAGTTAGAGCTAAGAAACGGCAATAAGGCCGTTCTCTCTGCTGTCAAAACGCGTTACATACTTTTGGGCACAAAAAAATCAGTTATTTGGCCATAGCTCAGCCAAAACTGGCCCAAATGAGGAATGTAATACCTCGTAGGGCTCGTAATTTGATTGCCATGATTCCTAATTGGTTTGCATTCAAATCTGGGAAACTTGATTTTTGGCCCATTTTTGAAAATTTTGATGATGGTACCCCTTATCAAAACTGCGAAATTTGGGCCAAAATTGATTTGCACAAAATCGAAAAACGAGTGATTGGGGTGGTTAGTATTGGTCATTAGCAGCACAAAACAGTCGTTCTTTTGGCTGTGCGCCTTGTTTTGGCCGAGCTAGAGCTAAAATACCGAAAATAATGTTGCAAATTTCTGTTAAAAATCGGTTTACTGCCCTTAAAACAGAGCTCGTACAGAAAAATCAGAGCAATAATGATAAAAGCAAGTATAGGGGTGTTAAGTTTCGGTAGTAAGCTGCATAAAACAGTCATTGGTTTAGCTATGCGCCTTGTTTTAACCGAGCTAGAGCTAAAATACCGAAAATAATGTTGCAAATTTCTGTTAAAAATCGGTTTAATTCCCTTAAAACAGAGCTCGTACAGAAAAATCAGAGCAATAATGATAAAAGCAAGTATAGGGGTGTTAAGTTTCGGTAGTAAGCTGCATAAAACAGTCATTGTTTTAGCCATGCGCCTTGTTTTGACAAAGTTAGAGCTAAGAAACGGCAATAAGGCCGTTCTCTCTGCTGTCAAAAGACGTTACATACTTTTGGGCACAAAAAATCAGTTATTTGGCCATAGCTCAGCCAAAACTGGCCCAAATGAGGAATGTAATACCTCGTAGGGCTCGTAATTTGATTGCCATGATTCCCAATTGGTTTGCATTCAAATCTGGGAAACTTGATTTTTGGCCCATTTTTGAAAATTTTGATGATGGTACCCCTTATCAAAAATGCGAAATTTGGGCCAAAATTGACTTTCACAAAATCGAAAAACGAGTGATAGGGGTGGTTAGTATTGGTCATTAGCAGCACAAAACAGTCGTTCTTTTGGCTGTGCGCCTTGTTTTGGCCGAGCTAGAGCTAAAATACCGAAAATAATGTTGCAAATTTCTGTTAAAAATCGGTTTAATTCCCTTAAAACAGAGCTCGTACAGAAAAATCAGAGCAATAATGATAAAAGCAAGTATAGGGGTGTTAAGTTTCGGTAGTAAGCTGCATAAAACAGTCATTGTTTTAGCCATGCGCCTAGTTTTGACAAAGTTAGAGCTAAGAAACGGCAATAAGGCCGTTCTCTCTGCTGTCAAAACGACGTTACATACTTTTGGGCACAAAAAAATCAGTTATTTGGCCATAGCTCAGCCAAAACTGGCCCAAATGAGGAATGTAATACCTCGTAGGGCTCGTAATTTGATTGCCATGATTCCCAATTGGTTTGCATTCAAATCTGGGAAACTTGATTTTTGGCCCATTTTTGAAAATTTTGATGATGGTACCCCTTATCAAAAATGCGAAATTTGGGCCAAAATTGACTTTCACAAAATCGAAAAACGAGTGATTGGGGTGGTTAGTATTGGTCATTAGCAGCACAAAACAGTCGTTCTTTTGGCTGTGCGCCTTGTTTTGGCCGAGCTAGAGCTAAAATACCGAAAATAATGTTGCAAATTTCTGTTAAAAATCGGTTTACTGCCCTTAAAACAGAGCTTGTACAGAAAAATCAGAGCAATAATGATAAAAGCAAGTATAGGGGTGTTAAGTTTCGGTAGTAAGCTGCATAAAACAGTCATTGGTTTAGCTGTGCGCCTTGTTTTAACCGAGCTAGAGCTAAAATACCGAAAATAATGTTGCAAATTTCTGTTAAAAATCGGTTTAATTCCCTTAAAACAGAGCTCGTACAGAAAAATCAGAGCAATAATGATAAAAGCAAGTATAGGGGTGTTAAGTTTCGGTAGTAAGCTGCATAAGACAGTCATTGGTTTAGCTATGCGCCTTGTTTTAACCGAGCTAGAGCTAAAATACCGAAAATAATGTTGCAAATTTCTGTTAAAAATCGGTTTAATTCCCTTAAAACAGAGCTCGTACAGAAAAATCAGAGCAATAATGATAAAAGCAAGTATAGGGGTGTTAAGTTTCGGTAGTAAGCTGCATAAGACAGTCATTGGTTTAGCTGTGCGCCTTGTTTTAACCGAGCTAGAGCTAAAATACCGAAAATAATGTTGCAAATTTCTGTTAAAAATCGGTTTAATTCCCTTAAAACAGAGCTCGTACAGAAAAATCAGAGCAATAATGATAAAAGCAAGTATAGGGGTGTTAAGTTTCGGTAGTAAGCTGCATAAAACAGTCATTGGTTTAGCTGTGCGCCTTGTTTTAACCGAGCTAGAGCTAAAATACCGAAAATAATGTTGCAAATTTCTGTTAAAAATCGGTTTAATTCCCTTAAAACAGAGCTCGTACAGAAAAATCAGTATTGCAATAATGATAAAAGCCCAAGTATAGGGGTGTTAAGTTTCGGTAGTAAGCTGCATAAACGTCATTGGATTTGCCATGATGCGCCAATTGGTTTTGCATTCAAAGCTGGGAAAACTTTTTACCGAAAATTTGAATGTTGAAATTTTGCATTGTTGAAAATCGGTTTGATTCATTGGAAAAAAAGCTGCCCTTTTTGAAAAAATTTTAGGGCCAAAATTGACTTTCACAAAATCGAAAAACGAGTGATTGGGGTGGTTAGTATTGGTCATTAGCAGCACAAAACAGTCGTTCTTTTGGCTGTGCGCCTTGTTTTAGCCGAGCTAGAGCTAAAATACCGAAAATAATGTTGCAAATTTCTGTTAAAAATCGGTTTACTGCCCTTAAAACAGAGCTTGTACAGAAAAATCAGAGCAATAATGATAAAAGCAAGTATAGGGGTGTTAAGTTTCGGTAGTAAGCTGCATAAAACAGTCATTGGTTTAGCTGTGCGCCTTGTTTTAACCGAGCTAGAGCTAAAATACCGAAAATAATGTTGCAAATTTCTGTTAAAAATCGGTTTACTGCCCTTAAAACAGAGCTTGTACAGAAAAATCAGAGCAATAATGATAAAAGCAAGTATAGGGGTGTTAAGTTTCGGTAGTAAGCTGCATAAAACAGTCATTGGTTTAGCTGTGCGCCTTGTTTTAACCGAGCTAGAGCTAAAATACCGAAAATAATGTTGCAAATTTCTGTTAAAAATCGGTTTAATTCCCTTAAAACAGAGCTCGTACAGAAAAATCAGAGCAATAATGATAAAAGCAAGTATAGGGGTGTTAAGTTTCGGTAGTAAGCTGCATAAAACAGCCAATGTTTTAGCCATGCGCCTAGTTTTGACAAAGTTAGAGCTAAGAAACGGCAATAAGGCCGTTCTCTCTGCTGTCAAAAGACGTTACATACTTTTGGGCACAAAAAAATCAGTTATTTGGCCATAGCTCAGCCAAAACTGGCCCAAATGAGGAATGTAATACCTCGTAGGGCTCGTAATTTGATTGCCATGATTCCCAATTGGTTTGCATTCAAATCTGGGAAACTTGATTTTTGGCCCATTTTTGAAAATTTTGATGATGGTACCCCTTATCAAAAATGCGAAATTTGGGCCAAAATTGACTTTCACAAAATCGAAAAACGAGTGATGGGGGTGGTTAGTATTGGTCATTAGCAGCACAAAACAGTCGTTCTTTTGGCTGTGCGCCTTGTTTTGGCCGAGCTAGAGCTAAAATACCGAAAATAATGTTGCAAATTTCTGTTAAAAATCGGTTTACTGCCCTTAAAACAGAGCTTGTACAGAAAAATCAGAGCAATAATGATAAAAGCAAGTATAGGGGTGTTAAGTTTCGGTAGTAAGCTGCATAAAACAGTCATTGGTTTAGCTGTGCGCCTTGTTTTAACCGAGCTAGAGCTAAAATACCGAAAATAATGTTGCAAATTTCTGTTAAAAATCGGTTTACTTCCCTTAAAACAGAGCTCGTACAGAAAAATCAGAGCAATAATGATAAAAGCAAGTATAGGGGTGTTAAGTTTCGGTAGTAAGCTGCATAAAACAGTCATTGGTTTAGCTGTGCGCCTTGTTTTAACCGAGCTAGAGCTAAAATACCGAAAATAATGTTGCAAATTTCTGTTAAAAATCGGTTTAATTCCCTTAAAACAGAGCTCGTACAGAAAAATCAGAGCAATAATGATAAAAGCAAGTATAGGGGTGTTAAGTTTCGGTAGTAAGCTGCATAAAACAGCCAATGTTTTAGCCATGCGCCTAGTTTTGACAAAGTTAGAGCTAAGAAACGGCAATAAGGCCGTTCTCTCTGCTGTCAAAAGACGTTACATACTTTTGGGCACAAAAAAATCAGTTATTTGGCCATAGCTCAGCCAAAACTGGCCCAAATGAGGAATGTAATACCTCGTAGGGCTCGTAATTTGATTGCCATGATTCCCAATTGGTTTGCATTCAAATCTGGGAAACTTGATTTTTGGCCCATTTTTGAAAATTTTGATGATGGTACCCCTTATCAAAAATGCGAAATTTGGGCCAAAATTGACTTTCACAAAATCGAAAAACGAGTGATGGGGGTGGTTAGTATTGGTCATTAGCAGCACAAAACAGTCGTTCTTTTGGCTGTGCGCCTTGTTTTGGCCGAGCTAGAGCTAAAATACCGAAAATAATGTTGCAAATTTCTGTTAAAAATCGGTTTACTGCCCTTAAAACAGAGCTTGTACAGAAAAATCAGAGCAATAATGATAAAAGCAAGTATAGGGGTGTTAAGTTTCGGTAGTAAGCTGCATAAAACAGTCATTGGTTTAGCTATGCGCCTTGTTTTAACCGAGCTAGAGCTAAAATACCGAAAATAATGTTGCAAATTTCTGTTAAAAATCGGTTTAATTCCCTTAAAACAGAGCTCGTACAGAAAAATCAGAGCAATAATGATAAAAGCAAGTATAGGGGTGTTAAGTTTCGGTAGTAAGCTGCATAAAACAGCCAATGTTTTAGCCATGCGCCTAGTTTTGACAAAGTTAGAGCTAAGAAACGGCAATAAGGCCGTTCTCTCTGCTGTCAAAAGACGTTACATACTTTTGGGCACAAAAAAATCAGTTATTTGGCCATAGCTCAGCCAAAACTGGCCCAAATGAGGAATGTAATACCTCGTAGGGCTCGTAATTTGATTGCCATGATTCCCAATTGGTTTGCATTCAAATCTGGGAAACTTGATTTTTGGCCCATTTTTGAAAATTTTGATGATGGTACCCCTTATCAAAAATGCGAAATTTGGGCCAAAATTGACTTTCACAAAATCGAAAAACGAGTGATGGGGGTGGTTAGTATTGGTCATTAGCAGCACAAAACAGTCGTTCTTTTGGCTGTGCGCCTTGTTTTGGCCGAGCTAGAGCTAAAATACCGAAAATAATGTTGCAAATTTCTGTTAAAAATCGGTTTACTGCCCTTAAAACAGAGCTTGTACAGAAAAATCAGAGCAATAATGATAAAAGCAAGTATAGGGGTGTTAAGTTTCGGTAGTAAGCTGCATAAAACAGTCATTGGTTTAGCTATGCGCCTTGTTTTAACCGAGCTAGAGCTAAAATACCGAAAATAATGTTGCAAATTTCTGTTAAAAATCGGTTTAATTCTCTTAAAACAGAGCTCGTACAGAAAAATCAGAGCAATAATGATAAAAGCAAGTATAGGGGTGTTAAGTTTCGGTAGTAAGCTGCATAAAACAGTCATTGGTTTAGCTGTGCGCCTTGTTTTAACCGAGCTAGAGCTAAAATACCGAAAATAATGTTGCAAATTTCTGTTAAAAATCAGTTTAATTCCCTTAAAACAGAGCTCGTACAGAAAAATCAGAGCAATAATGATAAAAGCAAGTATAGGGGTGTTAAGTTTCGGTAGTAAGCTGCATAAAACAGCCAATGTTTTAGCCATGCGCCTAGTTTTGACAAAGTTAGAGCTAAGAAACGGCAATAAGGCCGTTCTCTCTGCTGTCAAAAGACGTTACATACTTTTGGGCACAAAAAAATCAGTTATTTGGCCATAGCTCAGACAAAACTGGCCCAAATGAGGAATGTAATACCTCGTAGGGCTCGTAATTTGATTGCCATGATTCCCAATTGGTTTGCATTCAAGTCTGGGAAACTTGATTTTTGGCCCATTTTTGAAAATTTTGATGATGGTACACCCCTTATCAAAAATGCGAAATTTGGGCCAAAATTGACTTTCACAAAATCGAAAAACGAGTGATGGGGGTGGTTAGTATTGGTCATTAGCAGCACAAAACAGTCGTTCTTTTGGCTGTGCGCCTTGTTTTGGCCGAGCTAGAGCTAAAATACCGAAAATAATGTTGCAAATTTCTGTTAAAAATCGGTTTACTGCCCTTAAAAAAGAGCTTGTACAGAAAAATCAGAGCAATAATGATAAAAGCAAGTATAGGGGTGTTAAGTTTCGGTAGTAAGCTGCATAAAACAGTCATTGGTTTAGCTGTGCGCCTTGTTTTAACCGAGCTAGAGCTAAAATACCGAAAATAATGTTGCAAATTTCTGTTAAAAATCGGTTTAATTCCCTTAAAACAGAGCTCGTACAGAAAAATCAGAGCAATAATGATAAAAGCAAGTATAGGGGTGTTAAGTTTCGGTAGTAAGCTGCATAAACATAAAACAGCCAATGTTTTAGCCATGCGCCTAGTTTTGACAAAGTTAGAGCTAAGAAACGGCAATAAGGCCGTTTCTCTCTGCTGTCAAAAGACGTTACATACTTTTGGGCACACAAAAAATCAGTTATTTGGCCATAGCTCAGCCAAAACTGGCCCAAATGAGGAATGTAATACCTCGTAGGGCTCGTAATTTGATTGCCATGATTCCCAATTGGTTTGCATTCAAATCTGGGAAACTTGATTTTTGGCCCATTTTTGAAAATTTTGATGATGGTACCCCTTATCAAAACTGCGAAATTTGGGCCAAAATTGATTTGCACAAAATCGAAAAACGAGTGATTGGGGTGGTTAGTATTGGTCATTAGCAGCACAAAACAGTCGTTCTTTTGGCTGTGCGCCTTGTTTTGGCCGAGCTAGAGCTAAAATACCGAAAATAATGTTGCAAATTTCTGTTAAAAATCGGTTTACTGCCCTTAAAACAGAGCTTGTACAGAAAAATCAGAGCAATAATGATAAAAGCAAGTATAGGGGTGTTAAGTTTCGGTAGTAAGCTGCATAAAACAGTCATTGGTTTAGCTATGCGCCTTGTTTTAACCGAGCTAGAGCTAAAATACCGAAAATAATGTTGCAAATTTCTGTTAAAAATCGGTTTAATTCCCTTAAAACAGAGCTCGTACAGAAAAATCAGAGCAATAATGATAAAAGCAAGTATAGGGGTGTTAAGTTTCGGTAGTAAGCTGCATAAAACAGTCATTGTTTTTTTATTATTTTTACACGCAATATCAATAAATTTATTCCTTGCAGAATCGAAAGGAGGAGTCAAAAGCTTTATTTATAACTATTATTACATGCCCATAAATATTTTTAATGTTAGTCGTACATTTAAAAGCAAATTGAATTTAGGTAATCTCCCATGGGGTATTTGTTTTTTCTTTCTTTTACTTTCTTTTCTTTTATAACTTTAAAAGTTGCTTCGATTAATTGAGTCGCGAAATGAATTTTTGATTGATTTGATTGATTGATTTGATCGACACCGCTTATGTTTGTCTGCACTCTGAAAATCGTCTTCGATTTCGATATCGACTGATACTGATTCCGATTTCAATCTGAAGTTGGATTTTCAATAATTTCTAACACACAAGGATATTTAATATTGGTTGTTTTGAGGGAATTGCATAAAACGCGCTTTGTGCTTGGTTGCTTTGTTGGATTGGATTGCATCGATTCATAGTCCGAGATATCGCTATATATATCATCGGATATAGTTTGTCGGTTGGCCTCTACGTTCACGTAGCTTGTTTAAAAAAATTCGTTGTGTTCTTGTGTAAAGAGATCTCAAAACAAAAGCGAAAAGTTGCTGATTTCTGATTTCTTGATTGGTTTTAGTTATATCTGGTGGTTCGTAAGTTTGGTGTTCTAGTGCTGGCATAAGTCCGACGAAAATTCGGGGACTTGTAGATAGGGACTCGATTATTGGTGGGGAGTTAGCTGAGGCTGGGGCCAAAACCCAAACATCAAAGAGCTTAATAGTTAGACTACAGATCGGCTCGTTATTTGTACGCGGCTACGTGTATCCGTCTCCGAATCGCTATACCTTAAGTAAGTATATATGTATTACTGATCCGGCATCGGCTGGTAACTATAGCTAGATATCTTGTATAATTGTATATATATATATGTATCTATATATATATATATATATAGACAGAGAATAGCGAACATTATTGCTCAGACCCATTATAATAGTTTTCGGCTGCTCCTGATGATGCTTCTCCAAGACGTGGCAACCTTTTGCACTATTAAATTAATATATAGTCGTATATATATATATATATATTCTTTTGTAATATATAATATTGGTGTTTTGCTGTTGCTGCTTGAAGACTAATAGTTAACGGGGCGGCGGCCTCGCGGCTTGATCCTCTCGGATATCTGCCACATCTCCTCCTCGCCCATAAAGTCCTTGAAGTTATCAAAGAAGCGTATAATCCGCTCGTTGCGTCGAAATGGATAGGCACTTTACCAGGGAAATTGATTAAATTTAAACATGTGAAAAAGCATCCTGAAAAAGGGTTCGTATAAAATAGATCGCTTACCATTTCTTAAAACGTTTCATGTTGTCAATAATGTTGTACTGCTGCCAGCGCTTAGAGAAGTTTATAACGCCCTTGGACAAGTAGTCCTGGTTGCCCACATGCACAAAAGTCAGATCCTGCAAAATGAGACCACTAAAAGCAAATGGATATCATTAGCTATGGTTAGTTTGGATTTCATATCGAGATCAGCATCCTTACATATAGGGTATGCAGGGCGGATTAGTTTCAGCCAGGGCCTGGCGATAGGCGCGAAAACTGGAGCTGGAATCAATAAGGGCGCAGAAGGAACGCACCTCCTCGGTGATGCCCCTTTGCCACTCCAATCTGTCAAACAAATCAAAGACATATATTATAGGTTATGAGTGAAGCTGGATCACCTTCCGTCTTAGAGCACCCACCTTCTTATAGGACCTGAGTCAAGGGCTGACAATAAAGCCAAGTAAGAGTTGTAGTTGTTCATCTTGCGCAGGTGCTTCATGATCTTGATGAACTTGTTTACATGCTTCTCCCGCTCCCTGGCATCAGGCAGCCGCAGGATCTTGGAGCGCGCCCAATAGGACATCTTGTTGAAGTGCTCGGTGAACTTATTTAGGTTGGGCGACTTCTCCTCGCACTGATCTTTGGCAAATAGTAATACTTCGGGTATCTCAATCTTGGTGAACAACTCAGCATCCAGTAGCGTCATCTGCTCAGCGATCTCTAGTGATTTCAGGTCCAGGAGACTAAGCTGGTTGCCTCCTCCGCCAGCTGTACTGCACCCACCGCTGCCGGTTATTCCCGTTCCGGCGGCACCACCGGTTCCGCCCAACTCCGACCCAATAAAGCCGTACACCTTGGGCTCCTTGTACAGCGTCACCTTCTCCACGAACTTGTTGCGCAGCAACTTGGCCATGTAGAGTTCGCCTGAGCACACCAACTGATAGACAAACTCCACCAGCAGGCTCAGCAACTGACTGGTGAGATCCGTCGACCTGGGTGATGATTGTTTAAGATTAGTAGGTCTAGTGTCTAAGCCCCAAGACAAACAGCAGAAAACTAAAAACTCACGTTAGATCGTTGACGACTCGGACGAGCAGCGCAAAGGTCTCCTTGGCGGCCTTCTGTTTGTTGTCCTGCACTTGACAGAAGAAGTATGTGTAGCGATGGGTCAGCTTCTCGATGACGTCGATTGGCTGGATGAAGGTGCGAAAAGTGGTGATGAAGGCCTCGCAGAATGCTGCACGAACGGAATGGAAATGGACAGAGACAACAGAGGTTTTGGGTAAATGACCATGCGAATGGGATTTGGTATGTATGTGCTGCTTTGCTTTGCGCTGCGAGTGCCTACCATTGTCGGCGACCTTCTGGACACGGCTGGCGTGCACGATGAGGGCGTCGATGTAGCCGCCCTTAACCTCGGGCCCATCCTCCTCCCTCTTCTTGAGTATCAGGTACCGTGTGATGTTGACCTCCTCCAGCATGTTGATCAGCATCTCATCTTGCTCCGTCTCATCTTCCTCCCCGTTTTCATTTTGTGGCTTAACGGAAACCTCTTCAGTAGTGACTCCTGGCCGTGACTCTTCCGTTTGCTCTGCCTGCTCTTCGAGCACTTGGGGCGTGCTGATTGGCTGACCAGCATTATTCATGCCCTCGCACACGTTCACCTCGCCGGGCAGCTGATGCGAGTGACAGTAGAAGGTCTGGCCATCGTCGACGGCGCTCACATTCTCATTACTGTCCAGCACAGGTGAACGAGGCTCTGGCATTGCGTCTTCGCTGGTCAAACCATCGTTTAGCTCCTCGCAAACGGTGGCCATCCGGCTGTCCGGCCTGCCTGTTGATCCATTCTCGCCCAACATTGGCTTCGGACTTGCCGGTGGTGTCGTTAAAATTATGGGCTGTAGCGAGGGCGATGATCCCATGCTTACCGCCTTTCGCTGCTTGTAGTTCTTTGGCGGTAGGGCCGGAGGAATCTCTTGCTCTGGCGACAGCTCCTTGCTCATGGGCATTATGCTAAAATGGTATCGAGAGAGTTCAGATTAATATGGTGATGAAGAACGTATATGCTAGATACAACTTTACTCACTTCATAGTCTGGCTGTGCGAGATGTTGCTACTGATGTTGTAGGTGCACATCGTGTGGCGGTGTTGCTCAGCGGGTCGCGTGGACGCCGAGCAGATCTCCATGTAGGCCAGAACTGTGTGAGCAGTACGGGGAAAGGGGAAAATGATTAGCAATTTTCACAAAAGACGGCGAACAGTAACCAAAACTAAGCCGATAGATCGATCCTTGGACCCTCACACATACATAAGTGTGTTATAAATTTGCCTCGAAGGTCACATCTGTTTACCAGGAGGGAGGTCTACAGGTATCGCATCACAACAACAAGTAACACAGGAACAGGAACGGATAACAACACACAGCGGGATATATAGAGCGGATTTCGGGCAGGTTTGGGACAGAGTTTTGGACAGGGCGGAGGGCACAGTGGGTTAGGCGGAGCGAAACGGAAGCCAGAGAACTGTAACTAAATCTAGGACTAGGACTAGGGCTTTTAAACTGAAACTGCAAACAGGTGGCTTGGCTGCTCGGTCGCCAAGTAAAAACTGAAGCGGCGCAGCAGCAAAATTAACAGCAGAGCGAATTGCCTAAAGCGAACTCGGAATGCTCTTTCCAAAAATGATTCAGAACTGTGCTTTTGATAGAGGATAACAAATACAATTTAAATCAGTACGGAGTTAAAATCTTCTCTTGGTATCTGTTTTGGTAAGCAGTAATACAGAGTTTTGGAAAGATATTATCGTTAACTAAATAAGGGTGAAGAGTATCTCATAGTAGTTTTTGGAAAACAAAACTAACATTAAACCAAGAAGAGTGGCATTCAAAATCGAAAAGAGCATTGCGAGCCCCGCCAAGGGCGCCGAAAAAGTTTGTTTTTTGTTTTTTGTTTTTTTTGTGATTTTGTTTCTGTTTTTGTTTGGCATTTGGCAGCAAAAGTTGGCTTAGTGTTTTTGTTTCGTGTTGGTCCTCTAGTAACACACACAGACTTACCCGAAAAGGCCACACTTTGAAACACTAGATGTTGGTTGGAACGATAATTTAGATGGGTTAGACTCTTGCGTACAACAATTTGGCAAACTTTCTTGTCGCCAGCATTTCTAAGGGGTTTGCGATAATGCGGGTGGTATGTGCTATAAATAAAACGTTCTTAAAGAAACAAACAAATCTCGCACACGAACTAACTAATTAACTAACTGGGCTGGCTGCCTGCCTGCCTGCCTGGCTACTAATAAAAGGTGATGATTGGCTGATTGGAGGTCTGATTATTGTGGTGGTGGTGTCTGATCGTCTGATTTTGTCTGGGTTTTAACGATGGACTTATATTCGATACTATTCGATGGATCTGATGTAATGGATGGATAGCAAAAATAGGACTGTGATAAGGAAAAACCCTTGAAATGCGCTCAACGAACACCCACTAACTTACCGCACGGCCTGGCCTAGGCGGTTTTAAAATAATACCAAAAATGATTAATTAAATAAAATACACAACGAAACACACACGCACACACACACGGTACGAGATGCAGAACCAAACCAAAAGGAAACGCGAAAAATATAAAAAGAAAAATAGGGAAATCGATGTAAATAACGTGTGCATCGTGGGCAAACCGACTTACTGTGCTTCTTTTTTATCGGCAGCGGCGGTGGCTCCTGGTCCAAGTGGCGCTGATCAAACGCACTGCAACTGCCACTTCCCGCCAGACGCCCCTCAATCAGGCTATGGTGCTTCGGGTGCCACTGCTGCAGCTGCCCGGCGGAGCAGGTGTGCGGATGATGGAGGTGATGATGCGGGGACTGCTGGCGCAACTCGGCCACCTCTGACTGGCTACTGCGGTGGCTGGCACAGCCGGAGGAGGCCTCGTCCGGCTCATCGCCTGCGGGCGACTCATGGCGGGTTAGGCTGCTCCGTTGGATACTCTTGGGCGGCAAAGCGGGTGCAAGTTCTGGCGACGATCCCAGAGCACCGGAAACGACCGACGTTGTCGTCTGGTGCTCCAGTTCGCTGGTGCTGCTGCTGCCATAGCCGGTGGTGGTGCTGCTGCTAGTGGTGGTAGTGGTGCAGCTGCTGCTGCTCGACGAGATTTGCCGCTGGCTATGCGACACCGACTGGCTAATCTGCTGGTACTCGCTGCTACTCCCGACCGCCGTCGACTCACTGATGCTAAACGCAATCTCCGAGTTGCTGCTGGAGGACTTCGTGGAGGACTGAACACTGTAGTCCGTCGTCTGCGTGGAGGTGCGGAACTCGCGCATCGAAACGAAACCTGCCGATGGAAGGAGATGGTTAAAAATAGTCCATAAATGGGGAACAGAATGCCAAAACCAAGCGGAAATTAAACAATATACAGGAGAAAAGCAGTGGAAAGGAAAAAGGAAAGGTGGGGGAATCAAGCCAAACTATTTACAGCCTTAAACGATATGTGCTTAAAAATATATACAGGAAAAGCCTAATGGGAAATGGAAAAGCTTTAATATAATGCGTATACTTTAAAAACTAAAATTAAGCCATGAGATCAAAAAAGGAGTAACGAAAGTCGGGAAGGGCAAGGGAATATACGATTTATATATATATATATAAATCTATTAAGCGGGACTGTAACTACGATTATAGATGTTCTGGGTACCCGATTCGTTTGAGTGGCGATTGCTGTTAGTTTCCCCGCCACTAGACGCTGCAGCAGCTCCACCTTCGGCTGCTCCTCCAGTTCCACTAGCACCAACACTACCACCAGCACCAACCGGAAGCGATGACTGACTTTTCTCCTCCATGGTGGGTTCTGTACGGGATTCGTTGATTGGGGGGGCCACCACTTGAGTTGAGCAGAGTGAGGGGTTCGGCGGAGCGTTGCGACAATACTCACTGTAGCTGACAAGCTTGTCCATGTCCTCGTCCATCATTGCCGCCATCTTTGGAAACTGCCTCTGCTGCTGATGCTGATCCTCCTCCTCCCGCGAGTGATTCAACGCCGAATCGAAGGAGCATTGACTATTTTCGTCCGGTGACCGTGAACGCACGGATAGGCTGTTGATAAAGACGATACTTATTAGATATTGCTGGAATGGATGCTCAATTTACACTCCCGCTCACCGATCCACGCCATAATTCATCAGCGAGATATTGGAACTGCAATCCAAGTCGGAGTTTAGGCTGATATTATGAGACTGGGCGTAGGGTAGCGGACTGGCCTGATTGGAGGTGGATGTTGAAGAGGAAGAGCACACTCCCACAGCACTGGAAGGAGCCCCCGGCTGGCTGCGTCGCTTTGGGGGCAAAGGTGGCGGATTACTGGCCCGATTGGGCAGCGGTGGCTTTGGCGGTGGACTCGTGTCGCGCAGGATGCTTTCGGTGCTGTGAGAGCCGCGCATTGGGTTCACATTGTGCTGCTCCAGGATGTCGCGTTCTTTGGGCGTGAGTGCTATATCCGGCAACGAGGTGCGCTGGGCAAATGACTCATCTGTGACACGCATGATGGTACTACCAGGAACACTGGTGACTCCCGGTGATGCGGTAACAGCTCCCATAATTTCCGCCGCAGCCCCAATGCCGCCCAAGCCAGATCCACTATAGCGAAAGGCGCACTGATCCTGCTCCTTCAGTTTTCCCTGCGCCAGCGTAACGAGATTCTGTTGGAGATTATCGTTTTAGTGATATGATTACACCGTAGAAGAGACAACAGCTCGTCTTACCCGCACTGCATCCTCTAGAAGATCGATCACTTCACGGACATTCTCATTACTCAAGGAGGCGCACTCGTCGCTCTCCTCGGAGAGCATCACCTCATCGCAGAGCTTGATGAGCTTGCCCAGGCTTTGGTAAACCTGCTGCGTGGCATAGCTCATAATGGCACTGTTTTCGTTCAGGGTGTATGTCTGGATCACTGTGGTTAAAAGAATGGTGGTCAGTCAGAGATGGATATCCGCTATAAAGTACCGTACTCACCGGAGTACATGCTGGCTATGGTTTCCAGAATAACCGTGCCGTTACCCGGCAACACCTCCAGCTTCTTCTTGAGTATAACATCTCGGAAATGCTTCAGGGCATTCGAGATGTCCTTGACGTGCGTCTCCAATGTTTGGGTGGACCGCTGTACCTCCTCGGTGGTGGGCGGTGCCTTCGAGCCGTGCTTGGTGCGCGGACTGTGCGGCGAATGGGAGCGACCCAGCGTATTGTTTGTAGTCCGCATCAGGGAGATCTTCTCGATGAGATCGTCCTTGAAGGAACGTGCCCGGCGCGCTAATTTGGTGCCCTTTAAACTGTTCTTGTGGCCCGACGATCCGGTGGTGGGTGGTGCCGGTGGCACACCACTTGCTCCTCCGACTCGACTAGATCCTCCAGGCGTACCCTGCTGGTGCTGCGAGTGATGCGAGTGGTTTGTGGCTGGTGGCGGGGTGCAGGCGGTCGAATAGCCGCCGCTGTTGATGCTGTTGTTGCTGCTGCTGCTGCAACCGCCACCGCCCACTCCGATGCCACTGGAACAGGTCCCAGGCGTGGATGGAGAACTGATGCTGCCGTCTGTAAGGTAAAAGCAAGAAAAAAGTTACAGCAAGTAATGTTATATTTGAGGGACAGGGATTGGCAGAGGATAGAGGTCATAAATTCGAAGGTATCCTGGGAGAAAACATGGGTCACTTTCAGAAAGTAAAGTAAATAACATCGTGACCATCATGATTTGCCAAACCATATGCAAAAATGAATTCTTTCCTGTTTAAGCAGGATTCTTGAATGCCAAATCGAAACTCAAAAGTTGCCACATCCATAAACCACAATCTTCTGCAATATAAGGCAGCCTACTACCTAATTTGGAACCTAACTGAATAAATTAAATTAAGATGATACCTTGTAAACTTATTCTTTAAAGACTGTAATTAAACAAAAATAAACAGGCAAAGCTTTCCCTTTTAAAAAAAGAAGGTTTTTGACTTCTTACTCCACGTTTAAAGAGTACAGCACATACTCGTAAATTGGAATAATTACAAAACACACATGTTATAGAAATTCCTAGCATTCCCATTTCGGGAATCGTTCATGCGAGCCAAACCACTTTAATTTCGGAACGTTTAAAGTGCCCCAGCGGTTGGGTTGCTGATCACTGATCAGTAAAAGCCAAAAACCGAAGAGCACAACCACCCACCAAGCGAAAACCCCGGCGAGTAGCTTTCACTTACGGCACACCGCATTCTTAAGCGGCACAGGTGTGTCCATCTCCATATCGAACTCCCTATCCATATCCAACGCATCCATCTGCCGTGGAATCGCTGGCGTTGATAGCGCCAATCGTGCCAGCTTTTTGTATTTGCGACGTCTGTGGAATTTTATGCTATGCAACGTGTTGCCGGTGCAGGTGTTGCTGCTGCTGTTGCTACTTGGACTGTGATTATTGTTGTTGGTGTCGCGCGGCGACCAAGATTGCCGCTGGGTCTTCCAAAGACGATAATGTTGATGCTCATCATTACTAACACTATGATTTTTATTTGGATTCAGATTCAGTTTCAGATTCGAATTTGGATTCGGATGCGGTGGCAACTGCTTGACCGTGTACGAATAGAAATGCCAGCGGTCGGCTAGCGCACAGTCGCTCAAAAAAGATTCATCAAATTGCGGCATATTGCATAATGGCAGCAACAACAGTAACGACGACCGCAGCAACACGCATAACAATTTGTTGTAACTAAAATGTTTGGCTAAAACGAATGCGCCGATACACACAACAACACAAACACAAACACAAACACAACACACACTGGCCTCGCTGATTTCACCAAATTCCGATAAGCGATAGCAGCAACATCGGTCAGTTTTGTATAAGATTGTTGATTTCAGCGATTGCCGATTACAACATCATTTTATGGGCATGCTTTACATTGATTATTTCACTTTCGATCAGCTTTTTGGCAATATTTTCAAGGAAGTTTCAGTCACTGATAAAAACGATATTCGCGATAAGCTGTGATAGCAAATAGTAGATAGTAGCTTGCGTATTAAAGCGAAGACTGATTTAAGTATTTCACTTTAAAAGTCTTTTGCCCTACTTCTTTCACAGAGTTTAAAGATAACCGATAAGCAATTTAATCGATTATTGATTGATACATCCTCTGGGCTTTCGTTTTCCATTCAAACGATTGAACTTTCGACACATCCTATTTAGATTAGGGAGTTGCAATTTCCGATTAATGATTATTAGCCATCAAATTCAATGATTTAACTTTTTAAGTGCCATTAAGCCTTAGTTTCCTGTTTTTAGTGCTCTATTGCCTCAAAGAGCCTCTTTCCCTTTTCTTCACATTTTCAAATCGTTTTACACCATTCACTAGCAGCACTTTTGGCTTTGTAATGCCTGACGGGTGTGATTGATTCAATAACCGATAAGTAAAACACTTTGTTGCACTTTCTGTGCAATTTCTTTCACTTTCAAGTGCAATTTGCCGCTCTTTTCTTTGATTTTTCCATCTATCTCGTGCGACAGTGCCGCCCCCGCAGTCGCCAATCTTTCTTGGCTTGGCTGGCCTCTGGGTGAGATGTTGATTAAATAAATCACAAATAAAAATGATTATATTTAGACGCTGCCGCCGCCGCTCTGTTGCTGATGGGTGATGCTGATGCTGATGCTGATGTTGCTGCTGCTGCTGTCGTCAGCTGTCGCCGTTTGCGTCGTCGTCGTCGTCCGTTCGCGTTGTCGTTGTCGACTGGAAAGCGCACTGAACTATGAAAATCCGCAAACGGGCAAAAGCAAAAGACCAGGCAAAGCGAGTGTCCGAGACTTGGAGACCCGCTAACCGGCCAACGGCAATGGCAACACATTAGCAATATAGCAATAGCAATAGCAATAGCAGCAGCAACAGCAACAACAACACCAGCAACATTAGCAAACACAGCAGCAACACGAGAGCCGCCACGGAAAAAGAGCCCCAAATGGCACTTGCCCACCTGGCTATCGCCCTCTCGGCATCTCTCCTGATCTCTCCTGCTCTCACCACATCTCTCTTTCTACCTCTCCAATATTTATCAAACAAAAATCTTACATATTCACTACACTAATGTGATGTTTGGCCAGTGATATAATACTCCCAAACCATCTATTTCAAATGTGGTCAAAGACTGACCAGTTGGTTGTTAGTTTTTAATGATATTAAAGTTATAGATAGATTCAATGACAGTTTGAATATTTAATAAACATTTCTTGCAGTGCAGCCAGCGGTTTGCGGCTCTTTCGCCTGGGAGGGTGCTCTCCATTCACAGAGCTCTCTTCCAATTATCAATCAGCTGGCGCACCTGAAAGAGCCGCAAGAGCCGCAGGGGGCTGCGAAGGTAATTGGGGGGCGGTAAAGGGGCCAAGAGACGACTCTGGGCGGATTTCTTCAATTTGCAAGTACCGCTCGTGACTTGCCTTGGAAATGAACTAGCTGCTGCGCAAATGGGCGAAAATCGAAGGCGTCGCCAAAAGTAAATACAAAACAAAATACATACAAAAATATCTCAAGCAAAAGCAAAAGCATATAAAAACAAAAACCAAAAACCAAAAAACAAAAAAAAATCCCCAAGTAACTGAAATATATATGAATAGCAGGGAAAACCCCAAGTGGATCGGGTTAGGGTGTAAAATGAAATGTAATCATCATCGCCGGTTAAGTTGAGGTTAAGGACTATAGCCCCACACTAAAACCTTGGGTTAAGGTCAATCCCAATCCTGAAAATCATGAATCTAGAACATTAATATAGAGTACACAATGGCCGGTGGGTGCTAGTATCAAGGTCAACGGCTCATTCTTATCAATATTGCAGTTCGTTTACCCATTAATGACACTTTAAGCGAGTTGGGAAGATAGTTACGATTGGCGTAGAAACGCCTTTGTTCAATCCCTTTTAATTTCCGCCCGGAATTCTTCCGATTTTGAGCGATAGAAGTTTATTTTTCGGGCGTTTATTGTTAATTTGCAAATAACATTGTCATATTTTAAGATAACACTAAAAGGGAGTGCTAAAAGTTTATCATAAATCGTATAATGTTTCATGACAATTCAATTTCAAGAAGAAAACCCAAAAAATAAAATAAAGTTATTACAAGGAAAAATGGCATCATAAATTGCGAAAATTCTTAGCAAACTTGAGTTCTCCAAATTCGAAAAAGAACCAGCACACAGTTCTTAAAAGTTCCAAGAATAATCAATTAAAAATATCATTTCCAATTTTGACCTAGTGCCCCAGTGGGTAAGGGGCATTACTTATAGCCGCCCCACTTTTTCCCGGGGCATTCCTATTACCAGCACCACCACCACCACCACCCACTCCATTACAAGCATTAGAAGTCACGTTCACCCAATTAATTTGGCACACCGCAGAAATGGGGAAATGTAAAGAGCAGACGGAGACTGAGACGGAGACCCAAAAACCGAAAACCAAAAACCAAACCCGATATCACTGGGAGGCGACTGTAATATCGAGTCGAGAGCCACTTTGCATGATTAGGAAATTGGATCAGGCAACGGACCCAGCGGGTTTGTAGCCACCGAGCGGGTTGGACGAGTCGAGTGGAGTCGATCAAGAGGTGATTTCAGTTCTGGTTCTGGCCAAAAAAAAAACAAAAAGAAATAATAAGGCACACACCAAAAGAACTAAGGCAGTAGATATTGCCCAAGATAAATATGATTTAGTAGAACTCTTAAGATTTATATAGTCTATCCTAGATAGTAGTTTCCTTATAAGAGGAATTTAATCTTTGATCCAGGATTATTCAAGTAGGCAGGGTAGTTCATCCTAGCGATGTTCCACTGTATCAAAGTTCCGCAAACTGGGCTAGGCGGATTTAAAGCAACTGTCAAATAAAGCAGTAAACTAGAGAAGATTGGGCCAAGGAGGTGGAGAAGGAGGAGTTGACACCAAATTGGTAATTGGCACACCCGATGAAGACGGCGATAATGAAGATCGTTCAGAGGCATCATCATCATCATCATCGTGATCATAATGGCGTTGGCTCGTGTATGCAAAGTCCTCGGGGGCCTAACAAACTTGACCAATATTTGTGAATCTTTCGCCTCTTGATTGCTCTTCCCCCTCTCATTTCCCGACCAGTTCCAATGTTGCTGTTATTGTTATTATGCAGTGAAAACAAATATCTATACATTTCAATGCCAGACACTACAAGCGATGGTGGATCCCAAATCTGGCCAAGATCAAGATCTCTAAATAAATGTCAAGCCTTAAAAACTAGCTCTTAGATCACGAATTTGAAACTTGAATTTAAGAGTGCATGCTAGATTAGTAGACTAATATGATGTTTAGAACCGATAGGAAATGGCTTACATTTTTATAAGAAATAACTCAGATTAGAGAACTCTTATTCTCGTAGTGTACCTTTAACCAGTTTGGTGATGGAGCGTCTGAGAGTAAGCCTATTAGCGAGAGCAGCCACGAAATCGCGAAATGTAAAACGAAAATAAAACCAAAAACCGCACAAAATGTGAAATGCCGACTGAATGAGCGCACACACACACACACACACACAGCACAGAAAACAACAAATAAATAAAACAAGAGTCGAGGAATTTGTGTTTCGCCTTTTGGAATTTGGAATGCTATGCTTTCTAACTGCCGCGATCGCGATCGCGATCGCGATAGTTCCTGAACATCATATAAACACATAACATATGTCGGCATACATATACTATATGTACATAATGTAGCCCCGCACGCACATGGGTGCCCCATGGAAAATCTGCTCTACATTGAGAGCTAAGCAATCAAAATCAACTAAATGACATAATCTGTTAAAAAACAAAACAAAAACAAAAGCCAAACGACGACAAATTTTCATGCAAATTGGCCATTAAAAGCAACGAAAACACAATCTCAAGTTGTAAAATAAACTAAACGATTGAAGCTGAAACGTACAGAGGCACTTTGCCTACTGTCTGGGCAGTTAGTTACATATTAATTAGGAGCAGTCATTTAACCACTCATTAAGGCAATCTCTCAATGACCCATCCATACACTGTGGGTCATACCAATAGGGATGAAACTTTAGTTTTTATTTAACTATTAGTCAGCTATTTCAGCTTCTGCTGGTCATCAGTTAATATTTTCATTTTCTTAAAGAAAATTAGTCATATTTTCTTCGCCTCCGCTGTGGCTAACAGCAAATCCCGCTAAATGCCATGTTAAGTTTGCAGCTGTTAACACTTAGCATGTGCTATGTTAATTCATACAAAGAGATGCGAAATGCCCAATTTTGGTGATCAAATCGTTGAAATTTCACACCACAAGAGCTTTTTGTTTATGACACACCACGAAGGTTTTTCAAAAATGGCAATTTTATATCTTAAGATCGGTTTTTAAGCCACTAATACATAACATTTCAACTTTTCCTCCAGTGTAGCTGACAATCAGGTGTGTCTGTTAAGGGCTCATGTGGATTCCATTTCATTTGACAGTCTCTGATTTATGCATGAGCATGGGTCATCGAGTGATCACGACGACAGGTTTTCATGCCGGTAAAATGCATCGCATAATACCCATACACCTACACGTGTGGACAGCATGTGGCGGTGCACTGAGAGAAATATTCGAGAAAACCTTATGAATGTCTTTAAAATTTCTAACAAAATTTTGGTTTCCAGTGCGATTATGTTATTACCAAAATAGTGTATGTTTTTAGACATAAGTATTGCTAGAAAAACGAATCCATTAGAAACATAAATTTCTTATAACATTTTTCTCCCTGTGTAGTCCAATGTTTTGGGTGTGAGAATGAAACTGTTGGGAACTCCTTTGCCTTTTACCTTTTACCATTTAGCATTTAGAATTTAACATTTGCCCTTCTACCACCCCCTCCCAACGATGACGTCACTTTCTCGCAGGTGCTGTCATCGGGCAAGTATGTGCATTTGTTTTTGCTTCGTACGCCTCGAGAACTCAATTGGCACCCCCGCGTATGAGTATTATTCCCATCGACAATGCCATTGAATTGTTGAATTATACATCATCGTGTTTATAACTTGCCTGCCTTCTCCTCTCCGTCGATTACTCACCCAAGAATTGTCGCTCTGCGCCCTTTTTGTACTCTCTGTTCTGTGTGGTTTTTGTTGTTTCTTATTTGTAGCTAATTTTCCAGTTTTCAGCCGCCGTGTATTATTTAACTTTTTAACCCCCAGCAAAACAAAAAAAAACAAAAACGAGAAGCACACACCCACTTGAGTTTCAATACTTTTCTTAGACGATTTTTTGGGGTTCTTTGGCGTCGTCGTAAATAGGTCCGCTGGTCCGTTCCCGGCAACGGTTAGATAACTTTTGAACAGCTCGTCGTCATAATTAATAATGCGCTGCAAACAAGCAGCCAGAAAGCAGCGACAACAACAACAACAACTAGGGAATGGCACAAACAAAAAACAAGCAACAAAAAACCGAAATACAGAAAAAAAAAAACTCTCAACGAAAACGAAACTACAAATTCGAAGCACTGAGACGAAAAGCTCTGTTCTAATCAAGACTCAAATTCAGACTAAAGGGCATTTTTGTTTAATATT